TTAAGACACCAAACTTATATGAGTAAAAGATCTTGAGGAGTAGGCAAATCCATTTGGGTTAAGAACGTCAACCGTTACTTCCGGTCGTCACAGGAAGTGATCATAGAAATCGAAAATTTCATTCAGGTCGCGCGTTTAAATGTCCGCAAAATGAGAACTTGTCCGAGTGAGATCTCAGAAACTGTAAGAGATTTAGACACCAAACTTATAGGAGACCTTGAAGAGTAGACAAAACCATTTGGGTTAAGAGCGTCAGTCGTCACTTCCGGTCGTCACAGGAAGTGATCAAAGAAATGAACAATTTTAACTTTTCTCTTTTTGATTAAGATTTGCATCATATAATTGTATCTTTTTCATAGTTACGATATGTGTTGGTCCCACCGGAAACAAAAAACGACAACTTCCGGTTATAAGACAAAACTACATAATAGTTGTTTTGAATTTTCCCCAACATATCATTTATAGATAGAGTTCTTTAAATGATTTTTATATATGTTATTGAGACTACAGATGCCTAGAGTGACGTGAAATATCTTAGTAAAATTCACTTCCGGTCGCGTGTTTTCTTGTCCTCAAAATGAAAAGCTATTTCAGCGAGATCTCGGAAACGGCATGAAAGTAAGACACCAAACTTATAGGAGTAATAAAACTTGGTAAGAAGGCAAAACACATAGGGTTAAAAGAGTCAGCCGTCACTTCCGGTCGTCACAGGAAGTGATCGAAGAAATCGAAAATTTCAACTTTTCTTTTTAAAATTAAAACTTGCATCACTTTTTTGCTTCCCTTTCGCTGTTTTGACATATGTTAGATTCCACCGGAAAAAAAAAACCCTTTAAACTTCCGGTTTTCAGAGATAAACAACGTTATTTCGTGGTTTAACTTTTTCATAAATATCACTTATAGATAAGTATTTGAAATGTTTTTTAAATATGCTGTAGATACTGCAGAAGTCAAGAGAAAATTAAGCGATTTTTATTCAGTTCACTTCCGGTCGTGTGTTTTCCTGTCCTCAAAATTAGAATTTGTTCTCACAATTGTTCGGCAACAGTAAAGGACTGAAGTCTAAAACTTTCAGGACTTATAGTCAGTCAACAGTTCATTTGCATCGTGTAAAAATCGTGTGTCGTCATTACTTTCGGTCGTGACAGGAAACGAAGCAAAAAAGTATTTTTTAAGTTCTTTTGCTTCTACATAAGTTTTAGGCTAATACCGACGTTGGAAAAGACATGTTCATGCAAACAGGAAGTAGTATAACGGAAGACCTTCTCATTACTAGTAATGAGTTTCTAGTTATTATTATTATTTTTTTTTTTTAGACAAAATTTTGTGCACGCGATTTCTCGAAAACTATTCAATGAATTTCTTTGAAATTTTCAGGGATAAAAGGACTTTATATGAATTTTATATAAAATTCCGTTTTATTTTATTTTTTTTTTTTTTTTTTTATTTTTTATTTATTTATTTTTTTTTTTTTTTGTAAATTCGGTTCCAGTGCCAAGTTATGGTTAATTTCCTGATTTTAAAATGAAATTTTGTCCGCGAGTGTTCTCAAGAATGGCTAAAGATATGAACTGAAGACTTCTTAGAGATGATAAAACATGATTTCTAGATTGGAGAGGGCACCTTTTCGTTCGTCGTCGGCACTTCCGGTCGCTTACGGAAGTGATCAAAGAAATCATTAAATTTCAACTTTTCTTTCTTAAATCAATTCTTATATCGCATTATTGCATCTCTTTTATAGTTTTGAAATATATTGGTCCCACCGGAAACAAAAACGTCAACTTCCGGTTATAAAAGAAAAACTATATAATTTGATTATTTTTCTTTCCCATTAATATCTTTTGTAGATAAAGTATTTGGAATGAATTTTAAATATGTTATTTAAACTGCAATTATCTAGAAAAACGTCAAATATCTTTGTAAAATTCACTTCCGGTCGCGTGTTTTTCTGTCCTCAGAATGAGAAGTTGTCTGAGCAAGATCTCGGAAACGGTAAGAGATTAAGACATCAGATTTATATTAGCAACAGATCTTAAGATGTAACCAAAGCCATTTTGCTTCAGAGCGTCAGCCGTCACTTCCGGTCGTCACAGGAAGTGATCAAAGAAATCGAAAATTTCAACTTTTCTTTTTTAAATTAAAAATTGCATCACTTTATTGCATCTTTTTCGCAGATTCGAAAAATGTTGGTTCCACCGGAAACAAAAACGACAACTTCCGGTTATAAGAGAAAAACTAAATATTTTGAGTTTTTTACTTTCCTATAAATATTCTTTATAGATAAAGTATTTGAAATGAATTTTAAATATGTTATTCAGACTGCAAATGTCTAGAGTAACTCAAATATCTTTCAAAAATTCACTTCCGGTCGCGTGTTTTTCTGTCCTCAAAATGAGAAATTGTCTGAGCTTGATCTCAAAAAGAGGTAAAAAGATTTAAACACCAAATTTTTATGAGTAACAGATCTTGAAGAGTAGGTAGAACCATTTTGGTTAAATGCGTCAGTCGTCACTTCCGGTCGTCACAGGAAGAGATCAAAGAAATCAAAAATTTTAACTTTTCTTTTTTAAATTAAAGTTTGCATCACTTTATTGCATCTCTTTCGCTGTTTTGAAATATGTTAGATTCCACCAGAAACTAAAACGTCAACTTCCGGTTTTAGCTGATAAACTACGTTATTTCTATATTTAACTTTCTCATAAATAATGGTTATCGATAAAGTACTTGAAATGTTTTTATGCATTTTGTAGATACTGCAAATGTCTAGAGATTTTTCGATAAAATTCACTTCCGGTCGCTTGTTTACCTGTTCTCAAAATTTGAATTTGTTCTCAGAATATTCCTCGGCAACAGAAAACGACTGAAGTCTTCTAGTTACTTGTTATTATTATATTATAGACCTTCACCATTATTGTATATCATACCAGCAATAAAATAGGGCAATCACATATACCCGGCATGTTTCAGGTAAAAGTAGTATTTTTTCAATTTCTGAAACCTGTACCTTTCTAATACCAAATTTAAAATTTCATGCAAAAATTCTAATTTTTGTCAATTTTACCATTGAGCATCATGGTTTCGTCTGATTTTGAAAACAAAAGCCGAGGTTTTAATATCTCAGACAAGTGGAGAGCAAGAAGGTTATTCTGCATCTTTCACGATACTGTAACTAGCAACTCTAGCTCTAAAATACCACTTATCGTGTCCCCTATAAAAAACAAGGTGTAACTAGGCCATTTTTTAGCGCGAGCTATTAGAAGATACATTTAGTCCATGAAATATGAAAGTAAAGTACTGATTAAGATCTAAAGTCTATTTAAACAATACAATTTTTGAGTAGGACAAACATGGACCTCTAAAACATTAAACTGGGGTCAGATGCCATGGAGGTCATAGCTGTCGCGTGCTCATTGTCATGATTGCGTTATCGGCGTAATCTGTCGTTAATTCAGTGTGAAAATAATTTCCTTAGAATATTTATAAAAGACGTTAATCAATATTCGTCCTAACGACAGATTGCATTTGCAAAAGGCCATAGTATTGACCATGAAATTTTCAAATTTTGACTTCAAACGAAATTGCAAATACCCTTGCATCATCAACTTGTTTGTCAGTAGCCTGTCTCGTTTCAAAAATATTTCTTACCAAGAAAATACTCTTGCATATCGAATTGGTTCAGAGATTTAAAAGTCATATACAAGTGATATTTGTATATTGCTACATTAGTAACGGAAGTTGACGAAGTCATCGCGTTTTTAATAAAGTTTTTAAGTCTGCAATGACTTTCTCTAGTAAATATCCAGATGTATAGCCGTTGTGTAAAATTGGCCCAAGAATTTTTATGAAAGACGTCAATAAATGTAACAACAGAGGGTCAGCTAGTACGTTTACTTATGTAAGGATTGCAATGGAATGTAGACAATTTGAGGTTTTGTAGGATTTTATAGCGTTTAATCATTTATGAACTTGGTTTTTACATATACTTATTAATTCATGTAATTATAAGATTGCAAAATCATTTTTTTTATTGTTTCATCAGTAGAATCAGAGAGTTGAAATGTGGTAGGAAAGCTTGTGGAATGGCCAATTTAGCCAGAAAATACACAAATTTGAGAACGTTAAAGACGAGACATTGATATGGCCTAAATACGAGTGTTGTTCGGAAAGTTCGCGGACCATGTCAATCTTCGTTAAAGTATCTTCAAGAAATTCAACATGAGGACATAATCAAATGTTAGAATGTTTATTTTGTTGATATGTGAAGTTTCATATCATGTGATTTAATAGCAGTCATGTTATAAAATTTTAAAATCTACATGTTTTGTAAATCAGCTTCCAGCACTTTTTACAATATTCATGATATTAGCAATTGATATTCCATATTTCAGCTCAAACAGTCTAATCTATGCCCTAGCACTTTCGGGATTAATTAGGTAGATTCTTATCGTGTTAGCGATATTCTTTCCATTCTCGGTCGCTGTGCAACTCGTTAGCACTTCGATAAGTTGATAATCTATATGATTGCTTTGAATAAATTATTTCCATTTAGTTTTATTGATTCAATTTAAAAATTGGCAATTGTTTCGTATTTATTAAAACATTTTATTAAACCAATGGATCCACTCCTCTGGATCACTTGCACTGCGTCAAGTCAAGGGTAGTGACGTCATTTATGACACAGGATTTGCTTCTCATAACATGACAGTATTATTATTATTAAATGTTGTGATTTTACATGCTTGTATAAATAATTGATAAAATGAATGAACAGAAGTTGTTATTTACGCATCATCATGTGGTTAAAATAATTTTTGTCGTTTGTTTTAATGACGTCACAATGAAACTTCCCATACAGTATACATGAATCACAAATGTGAACTCAGACCTTCTTTAACGTTGCTGAGTTTCAAATGTTTGAGACAACCCTATCAGGTGATTGGGTATAAGATCCCAATGAGGTATGACTCTTCGGGTCCTTAAAATGATACAAATATATTTACTTTCATTGCAGTGAGGATTTATCCATCCATCTGCACAACCTTCTCGACAAATACCGTCGACTTTGTTGCATGGAAATCCTTCTGCACAGTGACCACTACACACGCTTTCACAGTAGTATCCAAAGGTACCGTATTCACATTCTGAAATAAAATATAGAATTAAAAACATAATTTATAATGAAATATTATGAACAAATAGAAGTATATCATATATATACCTTGATCACATCTTTTTTCACGTGTATGTTTCCATCCTACTTCACAGTACCCCTTAGGACAGGAACCATTCACGTGGTTACACGTTGCGTTGTTTAGACAATACCCGCAAGGACGACTACAATCCTTTCCGTACATACCTTCCTTACATGCTGAAAATATATGACAAAATATTATGAGAAGATATTTTGCCAAATTTATTTTCAATGTTATTAAAAATTATGATAATCGAACGAAAATGATTATTTACAAAGATAGAGTTGAATGCGAACGTGTCATATATTAGGAGATATTAATTCTAAATTCAAAGGAAGAAAATGCAATTTATATTTCTCGGCGTATTGTCTTTTTATTACATACATGCACAATTTTTGAAGATTTTGCCGTGTGAGAAGAGGGGGCATCCAGTTGGCCCGAGACACTAAAGTAAATAAAAAATGTCTTTGCTTGCTTTTTTCCAAAACGCTCTGAATTTGTAAGCGCATCATTTCAGAAATATTTTGCAAAAATATGCAGTCTTGATAAAAAAAAAACCTGGAAAAAATATTCACTTAATTCATTCAATTTAAAAGTCAAATTCAAAGTCATAGTTTGTCTGTTGTTTAAATCCAATTTGTTCAACTATGTTAAGGAAGGAGGATGGAAATGGCATCTTAGTATCTTTTGATATCAAAAGTATTTTTTTTTTTTTTTTTTTTTTTTTTTGCTGGCGCGCATGTATCCGTGTTCACGATCTCATTTTATATGTGCGCATGCATCTCGATTTAAAATCATTTCTTTTCTCGTTTGTGTGTAATTTACCGTGCAGCTGTTGCAAAAAAAAAAAAAAAAAAACCCACGTAACTTTTAAAAAAAAAAACCAAATCAAAAACAAAAAAAAAAAACAAAAAACAAAAAACAAAAACAAAAACAAATAGACAAACAAAACAAATCAGAACAAAGAAATGATGGCTCCGCAGTTTGAAATTTTATCTATTTAAAAATCCCCTCCAAACCCGTTGCAAGGGGATAATAATTGTACTAAAACAAATATTTGTTTAGTCAAATTACCCCTTATTTAGGTAATTTTTTAATACATATATTTTTTTAATTTTCTTTGCATCTTATATTTATTTTTATGTTATTTTCACGAACAGTATTCAACCTCAAAAGTCCATTAAACAATACTAAATAGGAGCAGAGCAAACACGGACCTCCAAAACATCAGAGGTGGGATCAGGTGCCATGGAGGAGTGAGCATCCCCTGCCGACCGGTGTCACCCGCCGTGTCCTCCTTGTCATGAGTGATTTTTTTTTTCTTTTATGTCAAGATGTAAAAAAAAAATCTGAGTATGAATAGAGCATGAATAGAGAAGTCCATATTGATATTTTTAGTCATTTTTACTGCATGCAATATAACTCTAAATAAAAACAGTCTGCCTACATGCAGTATAATTCGGTCCCTGAAATGTTCTACTTTCCCATTTTTCCGTTCGCTCACCGTCCGCTCACCGTTCGTTCAGCGTGCGTCCACCGTTCGTTCACCTTGCTTTCAACGTTCGCTCTCCGTTCACAGTTTTGCGTTCTGCGTTCACCGTGCGCTCGCGTTCAACGTTCACAAAGCGTTCACCGTTCGCTCTCCGTTCGTTCACTTTTCGTTCACCTTGCGTTCAGCGTTCACGTTTCGTTTAGTATCGTTTAGTCTTCACCGTCATTCGGAACTCCGAAGTGAAAGGACTTATCTTTTATGCAAGTAAGGATTTACAGGAATTTAAATTTAATAATTAACATATCGTGTTTAAACGATCATTATTATCATGGGGAAAAAAATATCTACAATATGTTTTATTATTATTCTAATTTAGCTGTTAGGTTATTTATTAAATTACTCTGGAAAATAAATGTTGTTATAAATAATCTAAGCATGTACCTATGTACATGTAGAACGATGCTGAAAAATTAAATTTAAATACGGGAAATATACGGGTACTTCAAGCACTGCAACATTTTGTTGTTAAGTAAAAGACGACAAATCGTTAATGGAGAGATAATAATCCATGTCAATTAATTTACCAACTACAGGAAAATTATGAAAGTATTATTTAAGAAGTATTTATTAAGAACACTTTTTTTTTCAATTACTATAGAAATACATTATTAGAACTAGTTCAGAGAACTGCGGATATCCAGTTAATTAAATATCTTTGGAGCGAATTAAATTGATAGTGTGGTTAAAAAATATTTATTAAAATGTAATACACTACCATTCATATATAAAGTCTATTGTAAGAGAGAAAAAAATCCTTTCTTCACAATAACTTTAAATGTTTGCCATTCGACATGATTAAGACCCCCTCCCCCCTTTCCACCTAAATCCATCTAAATCGGTTACATAGTCAGCATTTCCGGTATATTCAAATTAATATTTAAAAAGAAGTTAACGATTTTGTAGCACAAACATTTCAGTCTCAAAACAAACATGCATCTAAAAAAGTCATTAAACAAAGTAGTTCAAAATATACACGTGCCGACGGTGGTATTTTACATTGGCCAGGTAGTATGTTTCAAATTCATTCTTAGTGTTTACGCCCAATGTGTTTTTTTTTTTTTTTATTTATTGGAAAAGTTGGAATCAGATCTAGAAATGATGAAAAATGTTAAAACTTCTTAGAAATACTACAATGTAGCACTTCGTCCTTGGTGTTCACACCTGCACAGTGTCGAATGATTTTGATCGACAGGACAAACACGTGGACTTCTTGTGAACTTGAGGTAAATAAAAAAAAACGATTATGACTGTCAAACAAAATGAATTTGTTGATAAAAAAAAAGGTGACTTTCAATGCCTGATTCATTTAGATAAAAATTAAGAATTTTTGTTTACACAGGTAGTACATATACATGTACGTGCATTTGTGAAAAGGGGGCCAATACGGACTCTCTCTCTCTCTCTCTCTCTCACACACACACACACAAACACACACATTTCCGTTTAAACAAAACAATGACAAGTATTACTTAGATATCAAGTTTCGAAATTTTAATCCATAACAAATAATATGAATGTTTCTTTGTATCATCTTGTCCGAGTATAATCACGGGGTCTCTAGATACATGCACGTGTAGAAGTCTGCTTAATAAACCATAATAAAAAAGAAAAGACACATAAATATATTATTGCATTAGATTTTTCAAAAAACACGGAAATACATGTATGGTTGTTACAACCGTTGTTATTCATTCTATAAGTCAGTAATGTCCTCTTCGAAAATCATTATTTGTAATGGTTTTATATATCAAATAAGAATAATCACATTTTTTTTTACAACTAGATTAATTTTATCTTTTAAACTACAGAGTTCGTTAACAGTAACAATGTTTTACAGCGATAAAAATCTTTTGATTTAACAGCTGAATTTAAACATCATACATGTACATATGTGCAGAAAATATTGTAAAAAACTTAATTAATAGTTTTACTTAATGTGTATTTTCATCTTTCTTAGGACAATTTTTGAATATTTATTTATTTATTTTTTCTCCTGACTTTAGGGTACAATAGAATAGATACAATGCAGGGAAAAGACCAGAGGCATTCCGAATAAATCGCTCATCTTCTGTTCACTGCTCACTTTGCGCTCGTGTTCTGCGTTTGCTCACCATTTAGCGTCCACCTACCGTTCACCAAGTTGCGTTCAGGGTTCAAACAGCGTTCACTCACCATTCAATCTGCGTTCGTTCAGCGTTCGCTCACCGTTCAAGTGGGAAAGTAGAACGTTTCGGGGACTGTATCTCCTATTTGATCAAAAGTGACTTTTGAGTGTAAGAAAAAAAATTCTGCATTAACGATTTAACCCCGACCTTTATCACATTTCCTTTCTGCAGTGTTTTCCCATCCAGATACACAGCTCTTATTAGGACAGTATCCTGTTACGTGATCACACACTGTATCAATGGCACAATGTCCACAAGTAGATTTACATCCATGACCGTAGGTCCCATTCTTGCATTCTTAAATACATTATAATTATTGCGTGGACCCTGAGGTTCACGCATAAAAAAATTTAGCGGGCTTAAACCGGATGCCATGGGCTTACGTCGGGCTATGTATGCGCGAGAATGCTAGAGAGTTAGCTTCTAAGACAACTTGCCCTTAAAACAATTCGATATTAGAAAATGCCAATCATTGGCAAACCTCGCTCTAAAATCTGCACATCGTATTTATGTATTCTTCAGCGTAACCAAGATCCGAATTTCTCTTTTATACATATATCCTTATATTCAAACTAAATTCTATGGTACAAGCATTATAAATAAGTAGGAAGAACTTATATAGATAGCTTAACAGCTTGGACATTTTGAATTAAAAACTTAATTCAACTACTAGATTTCAAAAGATAGTCTTCACTATGTTTACCGGCATTATTTTTATGCATCAAGGTTCGCAAAATAATTTGATAAGCAGCAATCGAAATATAGCTCAATAAAGGCCTGTAGCAACGTTTTCTCATTTGGGGGAGAGATAGAAACATAAATCTGCGTACTACAGATCTGTGTTACACGTGTACCATCTATCTTTCCAATGATAGAATCTTCCGTATACATCTAGTACAGATGTTATGGGTTACATGTATCAAAATAGCCCGACTTTTTTAACGACAAAACTATAGGCCAATCGGGGATAAAATTTAACAATCTTGCTATGAAAGTACAATCACTCAAAGTAGGCAGATCATTGTAGAAAATGTTAAGGAAAGGTTAACCTGTGCCACCTTTCAGAGTAATCAATGAACTCGTCTATGGGTGCATTGACAGTCGTTGTAACAAGAAAAGATATGGGTTACCCCATATCCAAGATATTCGACTTTTAATTTACTCCAATTTTCACTAGAAAAAAAGCTGCGCATGTTATAAAACTAGTGTATAACTCTTTATGTCCAAATGTTGTTGCAAATATGTTGCAAATACTGTCACCAGTCTAAGCGTCACTAGCAAACAGTGCACACACCTGTGCTTGCAAGACCAAAGAGCCTGGTCTACACACGTGCGTTAAGATTGTCAGTCGCGTCTTCTCAGACCTTCTGGCGAGCTCGGAAAAATGCGTTGTTTTGCCTAGAAGTTAAGATTGCAGGTCCTGTATATAAACCATTCCGTTATTAAAAAGAGACAGAGACCCCCCCCCCCCCTCCCCCCCCCCCCCCAACACACACACACACACACAAAATTAATCTTTTTGTGTTTTTAAATTGATCGAGTTAATCGATAACTTAGCATCTCTTTAGAGACCCTTAAGCGCCGAGACCCTCTGGTGCTCAAATACAGTGTCTGATCAAGCAGTTTTTGAAGGGGGGGGGGTTCTAGGTTACACCTCAGGCACTTAAATTTAAGCCCAAAAAGAGTTGACAAGCACAATTAAATAAATAAATAGAAATAACAACCTGTGCAACGCACTGAAAAATCCTGTTTTTTTTTTTTTTTTTTTTTGGGGGGGGGGGGGGAGGGGGGGGGGACTTCGTCTAACTTTTCGGTAAATTTCGATATCTTTTAAATGTTTGATTTTCCATATTTCAAACCTTCTGCCAACAGTGCCAACACCCGGACCCCACTCTCTGGATCTGCCAATTGAGTTAAAATTCAACCATTACGATACCTGCATGTTTAAGCCTCTTTTAATTCTGTTGTTAATTTTAAAGGATACATTACAATTGTGATAGATACCTAGATAAACATTTCATAGGATATTCATATCAATACAACGTCATAATTTTTTATCATTACAGCCTAATTAAGCAGACTTAATTAACGATGAAAATTACGAGATACATGTAAAAACAATTAAGTTTAGTTACACCTGTGTTAAATCACAAAATCTAGAAATTTTCTGTGAATTTCGTTTAGAAACACATGCATACATGTATGGTGCACGTATTGCAGTCCTTTTTTAAAGGACAGCAACTTGTTAGAGAGATAAAAACAAGCAGGCGTAATTTTGTAGATATTTCTTAAGAGAACTGAAAAAGAAAAACAAATATGGAAACTTTTCCTGACTTAAATTAATGTCGGGTTTCCTCAATTGCATACAGTAGAGAAAACGAGTAGTTTCTATTGTTGAAGGAAATGTTATTTCTATACAATTCATCAAGGGATATGGACAAATATCTCCCACACAGGATTACATCATAACGCCCGTTAGATATTTTAAATTACTATTTTATATAATTTTATAGCGTAATGATAAGAGCAAATTAGCAGACCTTTATCACATTTCCAGTCTTCTGTGTTTTCCCATCCAGGTGCACAATTTCTATCAGGACAGGATCCTGTCACGTGATCACACACTGCATTACTGGCACAATGTCCACAGACAAAATCACAGTCATGACCATATCTACCATTTTTGCATTCTAAATAAATTTATGATTATTTAGATTCATGAAATGAACATTTAGCGAAAGTATTTTATGTTTTAACCATAATGGTTTTACATTCTCTAAAAATAAAATTTGTGATTTACCCATTTTTTTTTCTAAATGTAATTTCAGTCCTTGGTCAAAATTTTACATAAATTGATCAATATATCTGTTTCAAAATGAGTAGTTATATTTTCTTAATATTTATTGTTATTTGACGGAATCAAAGCAATATGCAAGATAAAATTAAAGCTAAAACATTGAAGGCTAAGTTTAAATAATTACAAACTCTTCAAGCATGACACTTTTACACGTATCACACGAATCATTAGTTAACGAAATGTTTACATCGGAACCATACAATTTAGCCACATTTGAAAAGAATGTGATATACTGAATGAAGAAAACTAAAACTTCAAATTAATAATTGGTCGCCCGCATGACGCAGTGGTAGAGCGTTTGCTGTAGAGTCGCGGAGTAAGGAGATGTTCCTTCCGTCGCAGGTTCGAATCCCACAGAGGGACGTTGAGTCAGGACCTTCGAATGAGATCTATAAAGCGAGGCCCCGTGTTGCAGTAGGTGTTGGCGCGAAAATGATCCTTCACTGCTCAAAAGCAGTAAGTGCTGAGCAGAGGTTTAAATTTGCAGCCCTCTTCCAGCAAGTGTTGGCGTCTCAATGAGTGAAAATTATCGAAGGGACGTTAAAAAAACAAAATAAACAAATTTTTTGTATTTCTATTTGCATATGGTTAAACCGAGCTCGAGTTTCATTTTTCATCTTTTTCATCAGATTATGTACAGTGTACATGTACCTTGAACATCATTTATTCATGGTTTTTCTTGCATATTTCCAATAAAATTTCGGCGTTTTATGAAATATAAAGAATATTTCAATATTTTTTTTTTTTTTTTTTTTTTTTTTTTTTTTTTTTGGTTGAAGGATAAGGTTTCAAGATTGGTTACCTCACGTTTTCCTGTATCATTTTAAGTAACTAAATTGCTTAGCACAAGAAAATCTATACATTTCATATTTTTTTCTTTTCACTTATCATAATATATTTAACAAAATGTATGAGCTCATCACTATCCACTATAAAAAATTGTTCTTCAGATTACAACATATGACTACACTACATTTCGATCATAAGACATAATTAATAACGCAGTACAGTTAAGGCAACATTTTCTATAAAAAGGCACCAAAAACGAGACACTTAAAGTTCAACCGTCTTATTTTTTAGTATGAAACTCTATCTGAAATATCTTAATGGCTTTATGAAGAGTTTGTCCATCGCTTTTCAAATCGGCATTTTTTGTCATCATGTGACCCTCTACAGTCACGTGAGCTCCGATTTTAGGTCAAAATATGAAATGTCAAATTTAACCAAAAAGTGCAAGGGCAAGGCATACAATATTTGAACTGTACAATGTTTCATTGTGTCCCTTAGAATCTATTCTATCGGAAAACTGATGCTCATTCAGTCAGATTTCTGAGATATTTAAGTTATTCATTGAAAACAAACACCAGTATTCAAAAATAGGGTATTTTTCATCATTTAATCGGAAATTTTAAATTGCCTAATGAATTATAAAGAAATGAGCATCACTTTTTAAAAACTATACAATAAAGTAAAGAATTTAAAATAAAAACCTACCTCTTGGGTTGTCGCCTTGCCCTTGCACTTTTTGATTAAAAATTGAAATCTTAACACAATCATTCTAAATATAGTTTTCAAACGCATCATTGACCCAGCATGGGAGATAACTCTGTGGTACTTAATAGAGTTTGTGTACCTCGCAAATTTTGAACAAATAATACCTACGGACTGTGCTGGGCTTTATTTCATTAAATCAAATCGGTATGCATAAAAAATCCTTGACTTTACTTTGTTTTGTATATCTTCGTTCTTTTATACGCTACACAAGACGTATTTGACACCTACCGCATTTCCTCCGTTCGTCAACAATAGACCTAAAATTTGCCGCAACATCATGTAAATCAATTGGAAAATGCCCATGGTTAAAAATATTGAAAGATTCAATCATTTGTAATACAAAATAGACAGCCGCTATCAATGATAAAATATTTATTCTTCCCCATTAGACACACAGAAATAATATCTCCAACAGAACTTAGGTTTTTTTTTTTTTTTTTAATACATGTGTGATTAATTTAGTTATCAAACCTTCAACTGTTTAGTGATTCTAGACTACGTTAAAAGTTTTAAGAACAGGAGGAAGGGACTGGGGTGCTTACTCCTGTATTTAATAACCTGTTTTCCTTTCTACAGATCTACCCCCCCCCCCCTTCACCAATTTGCCTCTGGCTCCTTTGATACCATTTACCTTACTTGCATGTAAAAATAAATTATTAAACAGTGTTTACATCAGGTTTTACCTTTTTGGGTATTTAGCACAAATCACATGGGGGGGGGGGGGGCTTTAGTCTCATATTTTTGAGTTGTTATCAATCCATGCGCAAACAAGATAATCATAGTAAAACTTTGTAATAAAGAAACATAGCTGTAAAAGAACAGGTGAACACAATATACATGCTGAAATTAAGATCTTGTTGGTATCCAAAAGCACAGACAGGCGCGTAGCCAGAATTGAAGTGAAACGTACGCAGAGAACGGCTGGGGTCCGCTTTGAGACCCCCCGTTGGTCCAGGGCGAAGCCCTGATGAGGACCTACATGTAGGGGCGAAGTCCCTGAAAGCTCATGGGTTTTACCAAATATTTCATTCAAAATCATGCCATTTCGATTTTCTTTAGAAAATACAAGACATAGTAATATTGTTTTTAACACAAAGTTAAATAATTTATAGTACCTGTAGAGGCTGAATATTTTTTTAAAATGATATATTGGTATCATCTACTCTTTTTTAACTTTCAGCAACAAATATAATTAATTTCAATTATTAACAAAAATAATGTTACATTTCAAATCATATTCTAGTGGATCACAGCATTCAATGGTTAATATTTTCTCAAAGATCTTTTAAAAAAATTATCAATGTGTCGTAGAAGAATTACAAATTAATAAATGTTTTAATTGGTTGTGGCAATAATTTAATGAAACATTACATTTTTTTTTTTTATAAAGACATGGTAATATTAAATTTGAATTTGAATCGAAACAGTACGAGATAAAATAATTTGAAACACAAATATTCGCTGGGTGGTATTGATATTTTTTCTCTTTTCACAAATCTCTCTCTCTTACACCCCCCCCCCCATTTTTTAAATTTGAAAACGATGTGTACACATCTGCGTATAGGCAGTTACGCACCTGTCAGAATACATTCAAGTAAAGATATTCAAATCTTAACAGCCTTCAAACTTTCACACCATTGTACTGTTAAAAATTCAAAGTATTATTTATCTAGAAAATTTATTTAATTAAAAACAGCTTTTCAAATTCAAAGGCAGGCTGTGAAGGGATTTCTGAGCAGGTGCAAAATATTTTAAAACAGTCCACAGTTCAAACAGTTCTTCTGGATGAAATCAATTCTGAAAACAAAATGAAATACCATTATGGAAAGTTCATTGGTGTTTTAAAAAAGTGATACTCAAAACAATGCATTGAGTAACATGGAAAGCATATACATGACTCTACTGTTTTTATTATCAAAACATTTCAATAATCTTGCTAGGAATATGTATGGTTTAGAGCTTATATGGAGCATACCTTTTTATTTTATTGGTGGAAACACTTGCTGCCTGAATAAATTGTTCAAATTGTTTGGGAGTAGCTACAACACAATATATATGTAATGAGTGAGAAACATAATGATTACTATTGTAGAATGAAATGACATTGCATTTTACAAAACAAACCATGCTATACTATATTTTCTGAAATTCATAAAATAAATGGAAACAAACTTTTGATACAAAACTTTTCTGGGAAATTGAAACCTACGACATTTGCAAGAGTAGAATTGGTAGCTATACTTAATTTAAGTAAAAAAAAAAATCAATAGTATAGAGATAACATTTAATTCTTTCACCTATACAACATTAAAAAAAAATATTTAACACTGGCATACTATAAAATTAATGTGAAATGCTTTAGTGTGATCATACCCGGTGGAGAAATTGATGCATCTATTTTGATAGTTCTAGCTGATGTAAATTCCAGTTTTAATCAGTTCTGTGACAGCTAAAATGACAAAAAAATTATACATATAAACAGTACATAAATACATGTATATACATATAAGACTGACTTAATGTACATGTAGTCAGACAAATGAAAATTCAAACATTTTATCTTCATTAATGTAGAAATTCCACAAATTCACAGCCTAGTGATACAGATAGTAAAAGTTTTATGATTAATTTAAAATATGAAGCACTGGTAAAAACTGAAATCTTAAAATTCACATATTTTTGATTGCCAGAGGTATAAATTAAAATTTATAGGGTCTTATACTCTTGTATGTACAGTGCACATACATGTACATTGTACACTGTGCAGTTTGACTTCACAAATACATTGTGTGACTGCATCTAAATTATACTATTTGATATCATGACGTGCTGTGCTTATATTATGTTACATGTTTGTACATTGCATGTTTAAAAGTGTGCAACTTTCATAATGTGTGTGTTTTGTTTATGTGTGGGAGGGAGGGGGGGGGGTTTACACACAAGGCACTGCATTGCAGTTTGTGACGGACTGTAACAATACATCTTATTGTACATGTTCACGGTTATTTTACATCGATGTAAAGAATAGTATGTCTACATGTTAATACATATGCACATACACACCTTAATGAACACAAAGGGACCTAGGGAGGTAGTGCGGATCGTCTCAGTTTTCCATGTGTTCCCGAAATAAAGTCATCATCTTCTCATCAAAAAGATAAACAAGGCCCAGGTCTCTTATTTTATCCCTATTTTCCTTAAAGAATGTCTGATTGTTGCATTTATCCAGTGCATATCTCAGCTGCTGTCGCCACGTTTAAGCCTTTTTAGACGTAAACATCATTCCGTGTCACCGAGTGCAAGCGCTTGACTGAAGCCGAATGCAGCCAAACGACACAATAAAAAGAGAATTATTTCGAAGACGTGTTGTTACTATATAAGAGAAAATCACTAATGTTTATTTATTTAAACCTGAAAATACAGACATTCATTACAAATTCTCGCAATCATCATTAAATAGCTTTTATGAGCTCTATTTCCTTATATGGATCTATCAAGGCGGAGCAACTGTCATGACGTCAAACCTCATTATGACCTCATTACCATATTATCTTCATGTGTAGCCTTAACTGTACTGCGAATCTGAATCATTAAGGACTAAATGTCGATTTTTGATTTTTATAATGTATGAAAAGAATAGAATCCTTCTAATACTTTATCTAATGTTTCAATAGCAATCTAATTATTTCTTTCTGTTACGCATCTATTTTGTAGCAACTATAGTGAGTTTAATTATAGATTTTTTTGTTTTGGAAATTCAAAGCTATATATATATATATATATATATATATATATATATATATATATATATATATATATATATATATATATATATATATATATATATATATATATATATATATATATGCATGTTTGATGCTTACTTTTACAACTTGGAAGGACATACCCATCCAATCTACAACCCATTTCATCACACTCTCCAGCTATGTTGCAGTCATTCTTACACTGGTTGCAAAGAGAGCAATTTCCATCACTGTCCTGGTATGAACATCCTGATTTGTAACACAACATTTAGTTGTATATTAGTTGCTATTTAGTTGTGCAGTAATAGTCCGAATTACATATAAGAAATGTTCTCGTAGTTGAGTTATAAGACTAAGTTTTAAAAAAAAAATAATCAAGAAAGCATACAGCAAGATTATGATATGCGAATCAGCATATTGATATTGAAAATCACCTGCATAAGGAGCAGCGCAGCCTAATTCATTTGGGAATTTTTACCCCAAACATCAAACAAAAATAGCAATTTCTCTCAATACCAGAAAATGATACAATTTGCGATTTAAAACTTTATACTAGTAATGAACTAAATCAAAATGTACCACATCATTTAATTTGTTGCTAATTGAATCCCAAAGATATTAACATGTCACTGATAGCAATGCAAATGTCGATATGACGTCATCATACTAAGTTTTGACGATTTTATCAGATCAAGCAATTTTTTGAAAGAGAAAAATTCATTTTTTTTTATTAAACATATCATTTAGGGATGTTAGACTATTAGTACCAATGCAAAACCTTTGTTTAGTGTCATCATTGAACTATTATTGAGATAATGCATCGAGTCACTTTTACCTTGTTTTTGTGAGAAGGGTTGGCATGTTTAAATCGAAGTGCCTCATAAATCACCTTTTCGCAAGGGCATTGTTAATGGATATTGACCTTTTTTTCTTAATTCAAATAAAAGAAGTATTCCTTAACATGAAAAGTGCTACTGCTTTCGTGAAATTGAGAGCATTTCTGAACAAATGCATGAAATATTTGGTAAAGGTCACACAAATTTCTACTTGAGTCAGATTACTTGAAATTTAAGCTAGCTAATGAAATGCTTCTATTCAACGCAGTATCATTTTTCCAAAATACTACATGATATTTAGAGACAATTTATCGCTTCAATATTTAATCTTGAATTAGGGTATGTTTTTACAATATTGAAATATGTTTATGATCTCCAAGCAGAACACAGTACATGTACATGTATATGCATTTTTCACGTGACTGCAAAATCAGATGACCAAACTAAATTCAATACAGGGATACTATATTATTGCCTGACGCCACGTGCGTCAGGCAGTATAAGGATTAATTTTTTCAAGATTCGAAACTAAGCGATCATTCTTAATGAACCAGATTTTCTGGAAGCTGATTTACACTATTATTTGTTACATGCATTTAAACAAAGACAGTTTGCAGAAGAAAGAATCATATTACTGATGCAAAATAATGTTGTGTTTAATTCCTTCAGTTTTTTTGCATGCACATGTTTATTCTCTGCGATTCTTTCTACGGGCATGTCCTTGCAACATTTTTTCTGCGTTTCTAAACTACTGGATCAGTCTATTTGCCTTCTACGAAAGGGGTGACACATGTACAATCAATTCGCGCCAAATATCATATGTAAATTATCTTCGCGCCTTTTTCCTGGATTGTTCTATTGAATGGGTCTGATAACTTCTATGGAAATAAATAACGTCTATTCTTTTTATTTTTATTAACAGTAAATTTTATCTCATTTTTAAATATGGTCAGGCAACACTAAAGCAATGGATTTGCTGATTATTCTTACTATTTATCCCATAAGTGAACTAGTCCAATCATAAACAAACTCCCTGGACCTAGTAAATGGGACATCCCTTCTTGATTCAGTCTGTTTCCCACCTTTTCATTCAATATTACATTTATTAATAATGTACGTTACAAGGTTAGGTTTTTAAACAAGAGGCCCATGGGCCACATCGCTCACCTGAGTAACTTTGGCCATGCTGTTCTTTACCAGATTTCCCCCCATTTAATATACCTATTGTGGCTCCGCCCTACCCCCGGGGGTCATGATTTGAACAATTTAGAATCTGCACTACCTAAGGATGCTTCCAAATAAGTTTCAGCTTTTCTGGCCCAGTGGTTCTTGAGAAGAAGATCTTATTTTTTAATGACCCCACCCTATTTTTGTCTTTTGTTGATTATCTCCCCTTGTAAGGGGACTTGGCCCTTTATTTTAACAATTTACACTCCCCTTTACCCAAGGATACTTTGTACCAAGTAGGGTTAAAATTGGCCCAGTGGTTCTTGAGAAGAAGTTGAAAATGTGAAAGGTTTACAGACGGACGGACAGACGGACGGACGACGGACAATGGGTGATCAGAAAAGCTCACTTGAGCTTTCAGCTCAGGTGAGCTAAAAAGCTTAGAAAGTCAGCCAGTAGCATATTATTTCATGCTTTGTGATGAACAAGGATAGTGACAAGAGTAAATCAGTACCCATAGAGGAATGGGCTTAACTCCCGTAGGGTTCTAAGCAAAGAATCGGCAAAATGAAGAAGACATCATGATCTGTACTAGTTTCATTTCATATAAAACACGTTATTATAATTATGAGAAAGGTCCTGAAATCGATTGAAAAGAAAAACTAAACAATTTTTAAACTGCACATGAAGATGTATTTTTAAACTCATTAATAATACATGTACATGTGTATGGTAGGACCATCAGCGCGTGATTTTCGTCCGGGGGGGGGATGTTAATGGTATCTTGATTTGCTCTAGCTATAAAGCGTACAGTCCATTTACTTTGGGTTCTAGAGCAGCATTGAAGCATTTCTGTCTCAAACACTTCAAGAAATGGCAATTAGAACTATTCATAATCTACTTCGACGTCGAGAACGACGGAAAACAGACTAATCTATAAAAAGAGGCCGTCTCATCAATCTATCACTGACCAGAGAAGCGCGCCCTCTAGTAAGAGAGTACATGTAATATGAATTTCTTTAGAATCATCTATATAACTAAAATTATAACCTACGCTATCGCACTTTGAATTTCATCCCAACGTAACTTGTCAGCCCGTGGGCTAACTAATAAATGATTGAATAGAGGCAATGTCTTAGATATTCGTTAATCTGTAGTATTTGGTTATGAGATTTGAGAAAGTCAATTGTACAACTTGTGTATTGAAGTATCGCAACTATGTCGCTCCTTGATGACAGAAACGTTTAGCACCTCTCTTGCTTATACGTTCCATAGATATTGATTGATTAGTCAGGCAAGCTTTCTGAAAAGCTATTACTTGTTTCCATTAATATTAAATTGATGTGATAAGATCATAGCTTTACAAAAAAGAAACATGCAGTTTAAAAGAGTATCTCTTTGTGCGTGTCAATATTCCGCTGATTTTGTCATAGTACGCCTTAGCAGTGCTGTGAATTTAATTTAATTACCTTACTGAGACACGTGTAATGCCAACAATTTAATATATGCATAGGCATTGAATGAGTAAGAAAAATACGCTAAATATCCAATCATTATGATACTCAAGGCCATCTGACTAGTATTTAAAGCCGTATAACGATAAACCGGTTCTATGATGTTTCTAATTACTGTCAGAAATTTAAAGAACCAAATATATATATAAAAAAAAATAACAAACAAATAAACAAAAAAAAAAAAAAACAAACAAACAAACAAACAAACTAACAAAACGTAGCCTCTTAATTAGCAAGGTACACATCTAATAAAATCTTTTACAACTTTAAGTGAAAACGGTTATTCAAGAATAGGAATAAAAAGCAACATCTTTAATGACATACATTACTTACCGTATACCTGCACCTCACATATTTCCAGATATGCTCCATCAATAAACGTTTTGTTTGTGTAAATCCATACGTACTGGGCTGCCCCTTTACATTCCTTCTCTATAATTGGTGGCAGAAATGTATTTCCATCATCCTGGTAACAAATGTTCTGATGATGAGTGTGGGTTGTGTTCGAGATGCGGATACTAAACCTTTTTATTCTTCTTGTATTATATCCTGGTACTAATACAAAGTAAAGTGCCAATAAACAATCTATAATATAAGTTCCAACTCTTTGTGCACCTACCTTTTTTTATTAACATTTTTTTTGACAGGTAATGTTTCCTAAAAATGTTTTTTCTTCATTTTAGAAAAATGGAAGGAATGTATGTTGCAAGAAAACAAAATTGAATGAAACTTCAAGGATCCATTGATACTTCTCCGGTCCATTTTTTGATACTATTGTGTTTTTAATCTTTTGTATTAATAATTCCCAATTCAATGATTATATTCAACAGGAACAAATAAAATAACTAACATTAAGCACAAAGGAACATAACTAATCCGATTGGTGGTTTTATGCATAAATATACAAGCTGCAGAGCGTAAACTAGCGTTAACTTGCTTTGCAAGTGTGAAAAATAATCAATGTGTGATATAAGGGTTAGTCTTAACAGTATAACAAACACTCTGTCTGCTTGAGTTATCCTGTAAGCTGACTTTGTGGAAAAGGGTGTTCTAAAATGAACTATTTTTATTAAAATCAATTACTTAATTTACATACGAGCTTAATTTATTTTGAATTTTTCACTTCACTGTAGCAGAAATTATTTTGCCATCTGGAATATAATTTCATGAAAGGGAAGCGTTGTATAAAACAAGGCAAAATTCTCAATTTAAGAATACTGATCATGTAAAAATAAACGTAAATAACTTACTTCTGGAGTCATTTCTATACCAGAACTTGACAGAATTGATATTGTAGACCTTCCTAAGATTAATCATAAGCCACGCCTCTGTGTGTCCGACAGCGGTATGCATGCAGTGTATGTATGAACTTTGTCTAAAATCCCCATCTACTGTCTTGTTTGGGTGTCCTTCAAAAGCAGCAGAACTACTTTGTGCCATGGTATATCCGGGTCTTACAAGCTGATCTTTAAAAAAAGTTATTAATTAAATATGTTTGTAATTTGATTGATTATTGGTTCTAATTGATTCCTCTTTAGCACACCTGAGCGGAAGGCTTAAGTAAGCTTTTCCGATCGAAATTTGTCCGTTGTCTGTCGTCGTCGTTCTCGTATTCGTAAACTTTTTTCACGTTTTCAACTTCTACTCAAGAACCACTGGGCCAATTTCAACCAAATTTGCAACAAGGTATCCTTGGGTGAAGGGGATTCAAGTTTGTTCAAATGAAGGGCCATGCCTTCTTTCAAGAGTAGATAATTATGAATTCGTGAAAGAAAGGTATTATTTAAAAAAATATTCTTCTCAAGAACCACTGTGCTTGAAAACATGAAACTTATGCGGAATCACTGTGAGGTAATGTAGATTCTAATTTGTTCAAATATGATCCCCGGGGTTGGGTGGGGCCACAATGGCGATCAAAGTTTTATATAGGAAAATATAGTAAAAAAAAAACTTTAAAAATCCTCTCAAGAAGAGCAAACCCGTGATTGGTCATAATTGTATGGAAGAATCCTCATATAGCGTAGAATCAATTTTGTTCAAATCAGGACCCCCGGGGGTAGGTGGGGCCACAATGGGCCATCAAAGCTTTACATAAGAATAAATAGGAAATAAATCTTTATAATATTCTCAAGAACAGAAAAGCCATATTAGATAGTCATATTTACATGGACGTTTCCTCAAGTAGTGTAGAATTAATTTTGTTCAAAATCGGTTGTAGGGTGGGGTCACAATGGGCGATCAAAGTCTCACATAAGAATACATAGGAATTTAAAAAAGAATCTTCTTCTCAAGAAGAGCAAAACCATGATTGATCATATTTATATGGGAGCATCCTCGGGTGGTGTGTATTAAAGTGTATTAAAGCTTGGCAAATAATGACCCCCTGGGGTAGGGTAAAGCCACAATGGGCGATCAAAGTTTTATATAGGAATACATTGGAAAAAAATCTTTAAAGATCTTCTTGTCAAGAAGAGCCAAGCCATTAGTCATATTCAAATGGAAACATCCTCAGGTTGTATAGAATCAAGTGTGTTCAAAACATGACCTCTGGCGTTTGGTGGGGCCACAATGGGTGATCAAAGTTTTACATAGGAATACATTGGAAAAATCTTTAAAATTCTTCCCAAGAACAGCAAAGTCATGATAAGCCATAATAATATAAAAGGATTCTTAGGTAATATAAATTCAAATTTGTTCAAATCATGACCCCCCACCACCTCCCCCGGGAGAATAGAGGGGCCATTAGAGAGGATCAAAGTTATACAGAGGAAACAAAGGATATATCAATAGCAATTTTCTTCTAATGAAGTTATTATGTGTCATATTAGTTCAATAGCATCCTTAGGAATTGAGATTCAAGTTAGTCCTCCCCCCCCCCCCCACACACACTTTTATATTTAAACTTTTCAAGACTAAACTGATTTCTGCTTTTTCCTAGCCAAAGTGCTCGGGTGAGAGATGTGTCCCCTGGGCCTCTTGTTCTAGTACTAATGGCAACAACTTTTTCTGTAACTTCACTAGTGTATCGAGTGTTAACAATTAGATATCATTTTTTACGGAACCATTGTGACAAAAATGTGTATGCAACCAAAATAAATTACTCAATGCATGTCAGAACTAAATGATGAATAAATTTGAACAAAATTCATTTATTATATTTTTCCCTCTTGGATGCATTATTAACTTCAAACGAATTGAAATTATATACAGCTGATATTTTAACAATTAGATATTCTTCTATGAGTTTTCGAAATATCTGAGGTATGAAGGACGAACACCAGCTAATATAAGTGAATAGATTGATTTACTTGCGGATCTAGAGTGAAAATGTTGTAGCGGCAATTGCTCATGTACCAGTTTACTGTCCGAAATAATATATATAAAGATTATTTTCTATATATTGATATATATGTATAACCTAACAGAAAGCGAACCCAAAGTGCGCACACCGGGTTCGCTTTCTAGGTTCGCTTGGGGTCCGCTAGAGCTGACCCCGAACGAACCCGAAGCGCACCCCAAGCGAACGGGCAGCGGACACTTAGCGGACCCAGAGCGAACGCCCAAAGCGAACCCCAAATTCAGTAGCGAACCTGGAGAGCGAACGCGCGTTTTTACAAAAAAAGAAATAATAATAATAATAAATGTAAAGCTTGATTTGAATACATGTATATATTAGGGAAAGATTTTCTAGTCAATTCTAGTAATAATACAATGTAGACCTAATGTTTGAAATTTTGTAAAAATTTTGAAAGTCAATCCAAAATCCAAAAAAAATGCTTCTCACTTTCTTTCACGTCGATGTATATATAGGTCCGTGTAACACTTAACAATTCAAATTTCTAAAACGATTTAGAGTTTTAGAATTTTGATATATCAATTCAAATTTCTGAATTTCAAAAACTCAAACTACATGTATATATATATATATATATATATATATATATATATATATATATATATATATATATATATATATATATATATATATATATATATACCCCAATTTTTAACTGAAATTGTTTCCTACGTGCCTGAAATGGATGATAAAATGCACCGCTATTGAAGGGAAGTATCCTGCATTATAATTGTTTATTGGTACTTGGCAACGGAAAGCGGTCAGTATTCACCACTTCCTCCAAAGTTTTTTTTTTCGGTTGTGTGTATTGTATTTGCATGTTTATCGTTAATATAAACTGTTGGTTTTAAATTCTATAAAATAGTTATTACAAAATAAAATTTAAAGAAAATGAATATTTACAAGATTTCACTCAGTTCATACACTGAAAGGAATAATACTACAACATTATTAATAATGAATACTTAGATCAGTTAATCAAAGACAACCACAACCTCTTTGGGAAAAGAAAATAAATTATCATAATGATTAAATTGAAATCATTTAGACATTAATTTGTGTTGTATCCTATTGTGATAATACTAGTAATACATGGCTTAGTGGCAAACTATAACTTTGTTGAGGTCGTAGAAATAAAATTAATTTTGTTTAATGCTGTTGATTCAAATAACACTTGAAACTTATGTAATATTTAGCATGTGGCTAATAACTGTATATAAGCTATTTAATGTGTCATTTAATCGACCAATCAAACCACAATTGTACAATTTTATTAGAAACTTCTAGGAGTTAGTCGGCGTGCTTTCGCGTTATTTTCTTCCTTCTACCTTGCAACCACAGCAAAATGAAGTTTATTCTGAACTTTGCCGAAAAGTAAACATGCAGTGGGATTAACAACATTCAAGGCCCTTTGTACAACTCGCTGCAGATTCCGAATTCACTTCTGGTAATGCATTTTTACCTGCATAGCTGAAACAAATAGGTCAGGTTATGATTGTGTCTTAATTTTAGCAAAATTGTCATCTATAATCGAGAGGAATAAACACATTGTTAATTATTTTCAAATAATTTTCTTCTATTCCTAAAAACAGGTATTTATTTATCATGGCGAATATAATGACTTGCTATCAGTCAAAAACTTTACTTCATATGCAAGTCCTGTATCTTGATAAAAGTCGGTTGATTGTGGGATTGCTTTAATAAGGAAACTATAAAGACGGAGAGAAGTTAATTGCTTTTTGAGCATGCTTTCCATCACAAGGAAGAGCGACATGTCTAAGAAAGTCACATTTTCAGCAGATAAGGAAGGTTCCGTCGATGGACAGTGTATATTATACAGGTGTAAATGTACACGAACCTTTTACATAAACATGTACCACATGTAGTTTTCGAAATACTCTATATACATATAAAGAGCCCCCCCCCCCCCTTTTCCACACCAGGACACCTGACCCAGGGGCAATGATATTCACAATTTTAGAAGAGGGGTCTTTGCTCATCATAACCATGCACCATGCACTTAGTTTCTTTGTTTAATATACAGGGGAGAGAAGAAGCCTTTTTAAAGAATTTATGCAATTTCACTATGTGTCAATAGAACCCCTAACCATTGGGCCATGAATTTCACAATTTTGGTAAAGGACTCACAGTATGTTATCATTATTATAACAGTTAGACTGCTTGATGTCCCGGAGTACTAGTACAGAAGATTTTTGAAAACTGCACTAATTTTGATAGTTTTGACCCCACGCACGACGCACGACGGTGGAAACAAAACAGATTGTAATATGTAAATATAACAGGTGTCATTTTTAATGTGTGAAAATTGTTTATTTCATTTTCTTAGTCTTTATTAAGGCTCAATAAAGATTCAAAACATCTGAAAATCTCAATTTTTCACACTTTTCCTGTTGTTACTATAGCAACTAAGACACACAGCAATTAAATTTTATTTTATGTATGTTTCTGGTGTCAAGTTGTAAAAGTGGGTTAAGTTTCATAAAAATCAGTGACTGTGTAGTGAAAAAGGTTTTTGTGGTTACAGAGAATAGCTCTTACATTTAAGGTTTGACGATAGGTTCCTTGAATATTCGATTTCATATCTCTTTGTAACATACCAAAAATCATTCAAGTCATTATTGGCTTGTTATTTCTATACTGTTTTCAAAATGTTTTAAGAATATTAACATCAAAAACTGATATCAGCAATTCAAGTGATATCCAATAGGATATATAGAAAACACATCATCTGTATATTGCGCAAATGCCTGGTATTGTACCTCAATTGTTCGCGAGGACACTTGTTAAAGCAGCAATAATTTAATCACAAATTCATGGGAAAAATTATATATTACTGAGGAACGTGTCGTTTGACTTTACTTAGAATGATATCACCGTTAAACACTCAACGTATATTGTTAAATAACTTTTAGAAATTCCAAAAAAGAGATTGAGGTGAATGCCTTTTTTTTTTCTTGACGTTCAATATTTTAATTTTCATACATTTAATGCAGCTCATACAGCTTTTCAAATGCTTTTACAGAGCATTTATTAATCAATATCTGTATATTTGTACATATATTATCTTTATGGTCTTTCGTTAAAAATAAAAATATAGTTTTAGAACATAAATACTACCTACTATAACATGAAGCATGGTAGAGAATATTGATCCAAGTATAAACTATTAGTGGAATACACGCACTAAATCCCATCTTTAATCATCAGGAAATTCTGTGTTAAAGAGGAGAATGTTTTATATATAATATACACTACAATTTTCCAAGAGGTATGACTTTGTTTTCTTTCCGTATCTAACTCACTACGACATAATATAGCAATTTACACTTCCCTTTTCAACGCCGCGTTTTAATGATGACTCTTTTTTACATGATATAAACCATCTCAGAAGCTCTGTAATTAATTCATTAAATAAGAGTTGTGCATATTTTATTTTTTATTTATTTATATTATTTATTCATCCATTCCTTTAATTATTTATTATTAGTATTATTATCATCATCAACTAATTAATAAGTCAAGTAATATATTCATTTTCCCTTTTGTTCATTTATTTATTTCGCATTTGTTAATAGACATTATGATATTAGACATCTAGTCAGTTTTAATTTGTAGCAGACAGTTTGACGTTGGAAAAATTTAGTAGTTTGAAAATGCTACAGAAGTGCAATCATATTGATTCTAAATCAAATTAACAACGCTGAATTGATTGAATTTAAAAATGACACAACACATAATATAGTTCTTCTCTTATAGTTCTTCTCTTTTAACACCATCTTTTCTTCAGACAAATATGGTTCTGATATTATGCTGGATTTTATTTATTTTTACTATTATTGTTGATTTTTTTTCAATTTCTCTACTCTTTTCTAAATCCATATAAACAATATCAGGGAACCTGATAAGATTTAAACCAAAATATTGAAAAAAAGGGGGATAGTTTGGGAAAGATATATATATATATATATGAATAAAAGGTGCAAATACAATTACTTGACAATATTTAAAGTCTAATTTATATAGTCAGGATTTGCCCAGAGTTAGGAAATCTTGTATCAGAAAGATTTTACCTTGCTCCTAAACAATATAGTGATTTGCTTACCTATCGTGCAAATATGAAAAACAACTTCTAAAGCAACCATGAAGATAGAACCTCCTATAGTCTTATTTTTGTGCAGGAACTATATGCATATTCTTAAATATTGGATATACTGTGTTAAGTAAACTTCCCTATATGCTAGTCTTTTTGTACTTTTCCTTAAAGTAAATTTCTCTATCAAAACTCTTAATTTCTAAATACTACGTTTTCTACATAGCATTCTGACAAGTATTCAATTGACCGTAAGTATCTGCAATTCAATCTCGATAAGTGATATACATGTACCTATTTTTTTTTCCCAATAGTTTAAAAGAAACGCATCATAACACTATAAAGGCATATCCTACACTTTAAAAAAACATTTTAATATTTACATTTTCAAAATAATTTTACCAGTATTCGACAAGGAAACTGTGCCGTCGCAAATTTTAGCCTTTAAATTTAAGAGTCCTTTAGAGTGCTCACTTGAAATGCTGAAATGAAAAATTGTACTTGAATAATCATGTAATGTTTTATTTCTCAAGAATGAGTAGGAGCTATTAAATTTGAGGGCATAAGCCATTGAAAATTTACTCTATGCACATTTATTGGCCACTCATTTTTAGACGTTTTTTTTCAATCTTTGTTTAACAAAACATCTGTTATGTACATCTGTTGTATTATAACCAACATAATAACCAAATGTTAAACATTTACAAAATAAGAATTCAACTGTCAAAAAATGAAGACCTTACATTGATCCACTATAAATTTTATGCCATCTGCCCCAAAATCTTTGACTGCCACTTACCAGCTGTATCCCATAGCTAATAATTTTACCTAGAAAAGAACCCCTGAAAACATGCACCGGCTGATATGCTGTTTTAATACTCACTCTGTTGAAGATTATGAAAAGCGATTAATAAACTGCAACGTTTAAAGAAAAACTTACCCTTTTAACATTCATTAAGATGTTTAAAAAAGCAACGAGCACTTTTGCAGATTTTTTTTTCGTTTTTATTTTATTTTTTTTTTTTTTTTTATTTTTTATTTTTTATTTTTTTTTATTTTTTTTTGCTCTGAAAATTAATGACAGTGACTTCATACTTTGCAAAAGAAAACCTCTTCTTTGTTAAGCTGTCAATGCTTTAAAAGACAAATTATTGTACTGTTTTCTTCTTTGTCAATTGGACTTTTTATTCCAGTACTTTTGATCTGTTGTTTGATCAGAGTCCCTGTATAAGCTGCCTTTTTAAACCAAACAACTTCGAAATATGCTCTCAAAATAGAATTAGTACACTGTATAATATGACACAGAAACTCCTCACTTAGTAAGCACAAATGCATTCTTAAAGTAAAACAAGTGTTTCAGTTGAGCACATCATCAGGCATACGGGAAGGCGATATAAATACGACTGAATATTGTTATTATCCTCTTACTTGTACTTTATATTTATTTCAATTCAGGTCGAACTATTAAAGGAATAAGTACAAAGTTAAAAAAAAATACAATGCTCTAAATGATTTCTTGTGATCATTGTTTTAAAGCCATTTATTCTGAATTTAATAGAATAGATATGTCTATGATGTTGGACATTTTTATTTGTTGCTTATTTTGGATTTTGTAAGTTGCTGTTATATCAAAGAGCCTATTAAAATATTTGTAATTAAAATTATATTTTATATCCTTTTAGATACTGAAAAGCATCAGCCAATTACTTAAAACAACCAAAACATACCTGGGGCGCGTTTAACTATAGAACTTACGACTAAGACCCAGAGCTTTGTATAATTATAAAATTTGTAGAATTAATGCTTCAGTTAAACATTGCTTTCATAAGAATATATTTCTACATTGAATTCCTTATTTTGGAAAGATAAAATCATTTTCAAATCAATGCGAAAAAAATTTATTTCAAAAATAAAATTTTACGCTTAGTTGTAAGTTCCTTTGTAATACAGGGCCCAGGCATATAACATACCTGGTACGCATTAAGGTTTGATTTCTAAGTTTCCAGATTGATTTGAATGTACGTGCTTTTTATGCTACAATGGAGACATTCTTAAAATATTGAGAAACCCTAGGTTCCCTCTTACTACTCTTGTAAGTACTACAAATGTAAGAATCTTTTTTTCTTTGGTTACGTCTGAATTTGTATTCTTTGGGGTTAGTCAAAACGCACCCTATTAATGATATATCTTTTCATATGAAAATACCATTTTGACTTGATGTTTCTTTATGGGGACGGATAAGATACGTTAAAATATGGTGTGATGTCTTAAATGTGTATTATAACATTGATACCTCCAACTCTTTTTAGGTGGAATGCAGACAGGTCGCATTTTTTTTAAAAAACAAATTTTCCCCTAATATCTACTTGCTCTACTTGAGTCAAATCTTACTTGATTCATCAAGAGAGTCTTGAAAAAAAAGAAATCAATCATTGTGGTTGGATTTAATGGACAAAATAATCTTTTTAACAAATAAACAAGTTGCATAAATGAAAGATATAATTTATGGGGTATTCCATGTACACTGTAAGTAACTAGTCCTGTAACTTTCTGTCATAAGGAAAATATGCTTCTTATTTAAAGTCAGTTGGAGATGCTCCATTTGCTTTCAGTTCAACCCTGCGTCTCCTATAAGCAAGTAATTCTCTCATCAACTTAATCATTTTTAGCTGATTTGCGAGATGTTTAGAAAATACATTGTCTTCACATTTATCTCCATGATACCCAGGTTCACATAATCCAAAACAGGATCCGGTCACTTGATGACACGGGTTGTTACCTCTACGGTAGCCGCATCGTTCTTTACATTCTCTGCCATACCAGTCTTCATTGCAAACTGAAAAGAGGAAAGAATATACAAAACACAACAATGATTGCATTAAAGAGATCCTGATGAACTCTAAAAATTCAAGTATATCATAAAAATTCTTTTTTTTTACACTGATGGAAATAATATAAATAAAGGCATTGATATTCATTATTTATTTTTTCATGTCTTAAAAATAGGTAATTAGGAAACCATTTTTTTCATCATGACTACATGTAAGATGAGAAGGAGTAGGAGAAACATATTAGAGATACAGGTTTCTGTTAAATTTAAAAAAAAAAAAAAAAAAAAAAAAAAAAAAAAGCTTTAGATGTGAATAAAGCTTCTGTAAAATATCCCTTATGAAAAGGTGTCATGTTATTACTGGCACTTTCTCCATTTCATATAATCACTTACAACGCGATACAAGATTAGCATACTTTCTTTGCATTTTCCCTGCTGATACCCAGGCTGACAAAACGTAGGACAGGATCCGTTAACATGATGGCACGTCCCATTACCTTCACAGTGTCCACATTTTTCTTTGCATCCTTTACCATACCATCCAGGATTACAAGCTTGAAAATATTTCATGTAAAATTAATTTTATTTCTGCTGATTACTTAAAAATCATTTAATTTACATTGTTTTTCCAGGACCTTTTAATGTTTTGTTGGAAATAAAAGGATGGATCCAGTTTTAATTCTGATAATATTTTTGGAACAATATTCTTTTTTTATAGTCATATAAAACCAAAAGAAACAATTAGTCTATGAATGCATGTTATTTTTTTTCTATTTAAAACTGTGACGGTCAACATCTTCAAGCTTGCATATAGACTGTAGGACTGTAATTGGATTACAGAAATGAAAAAAAAAAAGTTCACAAGGACCTCGTTATGTACATGTAAGGAAATCTCGGTTACAAGAAATATATATTTCCCCCCTTTGCTCAAACTAAACACTTAGTTCTGTGTTTATATAAAGAACAAAAAATTCCTGTCCCAGGGCTTCCTTATATTGAAATTTAATGTATACGTACCTATGTTAAGGCTGTCCGAAGGCTTAATATGCATTAGAAAAATACTATTTTATTTTGAGCTAGGTTTAAATTTCAATTCGCAATCTATGCATAAATGTGCAATCAATTTGTGAAGAAAGTTTAATCAGGCATGATAATAAAACATTCTTGTGAAGTCACATGTCTTTGTTGATCACATAAAGGATACGTAAAGTATCCTAAATGTTGCTCAAATATCGCCTCAGCACATGTGAAAAACAAAATTATTGTAAACGGTTTGTTACATAAGTCAACTAATCGTGTTCTTTGGTACATGTATATATAAAGTGCTGAGGGCAAGCTTCTTAAAAAATCATTTCACAAGAAATTTGACTTACCCAAATACAATGGGGCATGTTCAACTTTTCATCGCAATTTATACAAAATAGGTTATATAACATACAATTCCCCAGCAAAATTCAGTTAGAGGATATTGTTCTCTAGTAGATTCACATAGAATACTTTCAATTCATCCTTATTAATCACTTGTGCCACTCTTATGTATTCATAATTTAAAAATATTAAATCTGTCTACAGACGTGCACGGGCGAGCATTTCTTCAGTTTTTTTATTATTGTTTGAATACGTGCATATCAGATAAGAGCAGGGAACAAAGATATTAAATTACATATGTTCACCATCATAACAGCACTTTGAGCTTAAAAATAAACCAAACACCTGAATTAAAAATCAGTGTAAACAAATTCTACATGTCATGTGAAGAGAATGTAAAAGAAATGACTTTCCCCGTCCAATCGCTGTACAGCGACCATCAGAATTTCGGAGCGTAACAAAGATCTGGTTTTAATCATATTGTTTCCCTGTCATGTCAGCTAATGCTTGCAGTGACTTGACGTCATATGCTATTATGACGTCATATCTAGGTAGTTCAAAGAAGTTACTACAGCTAGTACACTGTGATATTTTACGGACAGCCTTATCCTAGCCGCGTATAAGTAAAGAATTCTGTAAACAAATTATTATTCGCGACTTTTATTCACGATTTGTCGATCTGAAATCCATCTGTGATGTTTAGTTTTCGCTAGAAATATTCTTTAAAAAAAAAAAACACAATTAAAATATAGAATAGCGGTAGAATCTATTTGCGATTAAAGAAAGGTCGCAAAAACTCGCATAATTTTCTTCCACGGGTAAAAAATGACTTTCAGTAAAAAGAAAATATCCTCTCAAGGGGATCACTTTTGCTGTAAAGGATGAAATTTTAAAAAAAAATAATTTTGCTGGATAGGATTAATTGATGTGTTGTCTACATTATATGTGTGTGTTATATGTTGTTATACGTCCTATTCGAGAATTTTTCACTCATAGAAAAGTCACCGGCGAAGAGCTTCAAATTTAGACTTTTTGTCGACACTCAGGGCCATTGAGTCTTTATCGCGCCAACGACGTCCATAACACAGGACATAAATTTTTAAGGTCTTATCCGAAAGAACTTTGACAATGTCATGTAAAATTTAATGCATACTGAAAATCGAATTTTGAACTCTGAAGTTTAAAGAAAGTAGAAAAAATGTTTAAAGTTCGTATTTTGTATGTATTTTAGAATTTCTACTTATGAACCATGTTTTATTGAAATCTGAATTTATCTCTCGGAGAAGTATCATTTTAAGGGACTTTCAACTAAGTTTTATGTCTAGTAACCATGACCAAAAATTCCTTAAAATCTAAAGCTGATGCTAAGCCTTCCGTGTATTTAGATGGCCTACCAGTGTACGAGGTTTTATTGCAATGGGATCAAAACTGTAAGAGGGGTAATGTTTTGAAAATTATTTACAGAAGGATTAACAGGTGGAGAGTCAAAAAGACGGACAGGCGGACAGACAAAGTGGACTTCGCCTTTTTATTACATGTCAATGACTATTTCAGCTAAAATATATGTGATGTCATTGCAATTAAAAAGAAATATACTCAATAAATAGATAAATAAAATCATCTGTATGGATAGTTATATGTAAGGCAAATGCATGTATCTACCATACAACATTCTACAAAAATAAGAACATCTTGTTTAGACTGCATAGTAAATTACATTTTATTTCGTTTAATTTTGATGTATGGATATATTTAAAATATCGCTGTCAATACTTTTTAATAAGATACGGTTATCTTCATACCCTCTTCTTTTGTGTTGTTGATGTCATTTTTACATGTGACCTCGCACTGTTCTTGAGTTTCGAAATTGTTTTCATTTCCACCGCATCCTCCGTATACAAACTCTGTACAATCTTTTCCATTAAAATAATATCTTCTGAAAAATGCTCTACATGGACCCTTGACCTTTGGCTGTTCACAGACAGAGTTTGACACTGTAAAAACGTATCAACGGTATGCATTTCAAAGTAACATTTAAGAAGAAACCATAGAGCTACACCAAATACTTTCAAGCAAGTTAAATCCAGAGAGCGCTCGTAGAATGATATTTTTTTCTCTCAAAATGTATAAAAATTCAACCTGGAAAAGTCAACAATTCTCTGTAATGGACATATTTCATAAAGTATCATTCTCTCTACCTGTTTTTGTTCCATTTTGTCCACATCGACTCAAGCAAGAATCCTCATCGTCAAAGCGGTTTTTATTACCACCACAACCACTATACCAGAACCGATTACATCGACCAGATTTGAAATTGTAAAACCATTTGACAGAAAAATCCGAACAGTTTCCCTTGTCATCTTCCATTTGGCATACTCCGAAAAGGGTCACCTCAGGCTCTAAAATGGAACCAGAAAGCTCTGACGAGACTGTTGCTTGTATTTACAAAGGAAACAGATAAATTGAACACTTAGTTCCGTGTTTATATAAAAAAAAAACAAAAAATCCCTGTCCCAGGGCTTCCTTATATTGAAATTTAATGTATACGTACCTATGTTAAGGCTGTCCGAAGGCTTAATATGCATTAGAAAAATACTATTTTATTTTGAACTAGGTTTAAATTTCAATTCGCAATCTATGCATAAATGTGCAATCAATTTGTGAAGAAAGTTTAATCAGGCATGATAATAAAACATTTTTGTGAAGTCACATGTCTTTGTTGATCACATAAAGGATACGTAAAGTATCCTAAATGTTGCTCAAATATCGCCTCAGGACAAGTGAAAAACAAAATTATTGTAAACGGTTTGTAACATAAGTCAACTAATCGTGTTCTTTGGTACATGTATATATAAAGTGCTGAGGGCAAGCCTACTTTTTAGCTTCTTAAGAAAACATTTCACAAGAAATTTGACTTACCCACATACAATGGGGCATGTTCAACTTTTCATGGCAATTTATACAAAATAGGTTATATAACATACAATTCCCCAGCAAAATTCAGTTAGAGGATATTGTTCTCTAGTAGATTCACATAGAATACTTTCAATTCATCCTTTTTAATCACTTGTGCCACTCTTATGTATTCATGATTTAAAAATATTAAATCTGTCTACAGACGTGCACGGGCGAGCATTTCTTCAGTTTTTTATTATTGTTTGAATACGTGCATATCAGATAAGAGCAGGGAACAAAGATATTAAATTACATATGTTCACCATCATAACAGCACTTTGAGCTTAAAAATAAACCAAACACCTGAATTAAAAATCAGTGTAAACAAATTCTACATGTCATGTGAAGAGAATGTAAAAGAAATGACTTTCCCCGTCCAATCGCTGTACAGCGACCATCAGAATTTCGGAGCGTAACAAAGATCTGATTTTAATCATATTGTTTCCCTGTCATGTCAGCTAATGCTTGCAGTGACTTGACGTCATATGCTATTATGACGTCATATCTAGGTAGTTCAAAGAAGTTACTACAGCTAGTACACTGTGATATTTTAAGGACAGCCTTATCCTAGCCGCGTATAAGTAAAGAATTCTGTAAACAAATTATTATTCGCGACTTTTATTCACGATTTGTCGATCTGAAATCCATCTGTGATGTTTAGTTTTCGCTAGAAATATTCTTTTAAAAAAAACACAATTAAAATATAGGATAGCGGTAGAATCTAATTGCGATTAAAGAAAGGTCGCAAAAACTCGCATAATTTTCTTCCACGGGTAAAAAATGACTTTCAGTAAAAAGAAAATATCCTCTCAAGGGGATCACTTTTGCTGTAAAGGATGAAATTTTAAAAAAAATAATTTTGCTGGATAGGATTAATTGATGTGTTGTCTACATTATATGTGTGTGTTATATGTTGTTATACGTCCTATTCGAGAATTTTTCACTCATAGAAAAGTCACCGGCGAAGAGCTTCAAATTTAGACTTTTTGTCGACACTCAGGGCCATTGAGTCTTTATCGCGCCAACGACGTCCATAACACAGGACATAAATTTTTAAGGTCTTATCCGAAAGAACTTTGACAATGTCATGTAAAATTTAATGCATACTGAAAATCGAATTTTGAACTCTGAAGTTTAAAGAAAGTAGAAAAAAATGTTTAAAGTTCGTATTTTGTATGTATTTTAGAATTTCTTCTTATGAACCATGTTTTATTGAAATCTGAATTTATCTCTCGGAGAAATATCATTTTAAGGGACTTTCAACTAAGATTTATGTCTAGTAACCATGACCAAAAATTCCTTAAAATCTAAAGCTGATGCAAAGCCTTCCGTGTATTTAGATGGCCTACCAGTGTACGAGGTTTTATTGCAATGGGATCAAAACTGTAAGAGGGGTAATGTTTTGAAAATTACTTACAGAAGGATTAACAGGTGGAGAGTCAAAAAGACGGACAGGCGGACAGACAAAGTGGACTTCGCCTTTTTATTACATGTCAATGACTATTTCAGCTAAAATATATGTGATGTCATTGCAATTAAAAAGAAATATACTCAATAAATAGATAAATAAAATCATCTGTATGGATAGTTATATGTAAGGCAAATGCATGTATCTACCATACAACATTCTACAAAAATAAGAACATCTTGTTTAGACTGCATAGTAAATTACATTTTATTTCGTTTAATTTTGATGTATGGATATATTTAAAATATCGCTGTCAATACTTTTTAATAAGATACGGTTATCTTCATACCCTCTTCTTTTGTGTTGTTGATGTCATTTTTACATGTGACCTCGCACTGTTCTTGAGTTTCGAAATTGTTTTCATTTCCACCGCATCCTCCGTATACAAACTCTGTACAATCTTTTTCATTAAAATAATATCTTCTGAAAAATGCTCTACATGGACCCTTGACCTTTGGCTGTTCACAGACAGAGTTTGACACTGTAAAAACGTATCAACGGTATGCATTTCAAAGTAACATTTAAGAAGAAACCATAGAGCTACACCAAATACTTTCAAGCAAGTTAAATCCAGAGAGCGCTCGTAGAATGATATTTTTTTCTCTCAAAATGTATAAAAATTCAACCTGGAAAAGTCAACAATTCTCTGTAATGGACATATTTCATAAAGTATCATTCTCTCTACCTGTTTTTGTTCCATTTTGTCCACATCGACTCAAGCAAGAATCCTCATCGTCAAAGCGGTTTTTATTACCACCACAACCACTATACCAGAACCGATTACATCGACCAGATTTGAAATTGTAAAACCATTTGACAGAAAAATCCGAACAGTTTCCCTTGTCATCTTCCATTTGGCATACTCCGAAAAGGGTCACCTCAGGCTCTAAAATGGAACCAGAAAGCTCTGATGAGACTGTTACTTGTATTTATAAAGGAAGCAGATAAATTGCACCGTAACTTGAAACTTACATGTACTTGTAGTAGGTATGGTAACGCTGATAAATTTTGATTGATTTTTTATTGTTTAACGTTCCATACGATATTTTATTACTCATATAGAGACGTCACCATATACTGGTGAAGGGCTTCAAATTTAGATCTATACTCGGCACTCAAGACCACTGAGCAGTGAAGGTTCTTTATCATGTCAACGCCTACCGTAACACGGGACCTTGATTTTTAAGGTCTCATCCGAAAGACCCGTGACTTTCACTTCCAATGCCGGGCGCTTGGCGAAGGAACAGTCACTACCTATGTTTACGTCTTAGGTCTAGACGCGATGCGGCGAACGAGAATCGAACCCAGACCTTCCGATCACGATGCAAACACACTACCACTAGCCTAACGTGACCGGTACGCTGAGAAAAAGAATTATGGCTATTTGCGATTTTCTTTTTTTCAAAATTGTGACCAAGAAGAAAGCAGTAGTGTTTCAACTGAATCCCAATATTACCCTGTTTTCATCAAACTTTAAAAAAAACCTTATTTTTGTGAAACCCGATTTAACAGACCTATGCATCTTAGTCTAATTTTATTATCTTGGTATGCAATTAAAATTGTAATCGCGATTTTAAAGATACAGAAACATTTCATATTCACTAGCCATGCAACACCATTCCTCGATATCAAAAACCTTTTCTTAGAAATGTGTAGCCTTGTTTTTCCTATGTACCAAGTTTTACTGAAATGACTAAAACTGTATAAGGAATATCATCTATAAGCATTTTACATAGATCTATATTTTTAATACTACATGTATGGCTACACCTTTCGTTAAAATAAAAAGAGACGGTTATTATGTATCTTAGTATAATCGTCTTTGTACATGTATGAAGACATCAAATTCAACTAAAAGTGTAGGAGAATCGTTCTGAAAGTATTCCACAGATTTTTTTAAAATTATTTTTATTAACCATGACAACACTCATCGTTACAATTGAAAAGACTGGAGAACTGTGTGCAGGGTATGGTGTACCTGTCTTTCAATAAGACAAAATTTTAGTACGATTGGGCATCTGAAAAATTCTGAGAAGGATTTATTTACCAACCAAGAAATGAAATATGGAATTGCTGATTACTTACTGTCTTATTCAAGCTCTATACCTTTTTTTATATTTTCTTTGAAAACCCCTTTCAAAGAAGCCCTTGATCGCCTATTCTGATATGTTCATGTGAACAAAAATTGCAAATTTCCAATATGCAAACCACACAGTATTCTAACATCATCTTCAGAGTTATTACGTAATTAATATATGTGACATCACAACTTGTGCATATTTTCCAACTCATTGATATCCAGCTCATTAAATTCACTTAAAGGGTTAATATTATATATAACCATTCTCAGAACTTTTCAAATGTAGCGTTCTGAAACAATTTCACATAAATTTCTATTTTTAGTGACCACTGCAGCTTTGTTCGTTAAAATTAAAACCAGATAGGGAGAGATATGTATCTTATAATAGTCTACTTGCGTATTAAGTCTTTTAAAATCAGAGAGGAAGGAAGACGGCTAAAATAAGAGAGAGAGAAACTTGCGGACACACCTTCCTTATCACAAGCTCTTGGGTCTTTGACCAATAAAATTTAAAAATATCCAAAGACCTTATTCTAATTTAAACAAAAAAATTATCATTGTGATGAAAGGTCTAGTAAACCCCTGTAACTATACTTTTTTGCAGAGCAAATAATGCGTGTAAATTATTAAAGATTTCTAATGTTTTGCAACGATTATTTATTAAAACTTTTATAAGTGGACTAAGCCATCAGTGCAGCTTTGAATCACAAGTGGAAATCACAAAATCATGTTTTACTGCATTTAATAATCGTAAAATAATGAAAAGCAAAAATTCACAAAGCACTTACCAATTGAATTCACACAGGACATCGGCCATATTTGTGCGAACAAAAGAATTGAAAACTTCATCTTAACCTCCAAATTGATGTGTACATGTACATGAAATAGAACAAATGAGATACACTCTTTCAAGTTTATTGACATGAAATGGAAGTGTTCGCTTTACCCCTCTGGTATCCCTCTTATGATATTCATTTTCGACATGAGTGTCTAATACTTTATAGATGGTTATAGATACAACAATTAGAATGCTGCCCCGCACTTGAAGTATCAAGTAGTTGAATAGGTCAAACAATCAGTTACCTAAATATAGAATAACAAGTCTGTGAACGTGTAGGGTAATGAGAATGGTGAAGATAATGCAAAGTGATCAATCTCAAAGAAATCTACAAACAGTACATATCCGTGACCAAGAAAGTCTACAATCAATACAATTCTGTGAAGAGGGCATAAAACACGCACCCCCGGAAAATCCAGAAGTGGGATCAGGAGGAGTAATCACCACTGTCGACCGGTTACACCCGCCGTGACCCCTATGTATTGATCAGGTAGACCGAATACTCTGTAATGAAATTTTAGATTAAGAACAAACGCCTAACAATTGGTATAAAACATTAGCCAAAGTACGACACAAAGATAGGGTACATTTGCTAACAAGTTCATTATAACGATCATGGAATTTGCTGACTTTAAACGAGGTTGTTAAAAATTCCCGTAACATCAAAGTATTTGTCAGTAGTGTACCTCGGTTTAAAACAGATCGTACTCAGGGAATACTCTTGAGTATCGAGTGTATTGGGAAACGTAAAGACCATATGCAGGTAATAGCGAAATATAATAAGGAAAGTTGACGATGGAAAAGCTAAAGTAATCTCGTCTGTCGTACAATCTAGTTCTTAGTTGGCCCTTATAGTCAGTTAAACATTCAAATATGAAACATATGTTAATCGATAAAACGTCCTTGATATATCAGAATGTATGTTTTCTTCTTCACATTTAGAAGTTTTGAATAAATTCTGCTTTATTGAAATATAAAATCAGTTCGGCTAATAAAGGTGCACCATGTGTCCCATCGGAATGCCAAAAGTTTGTTGGAAGTCCTGGTCCCCAAAAATTTCATAGATGGTTTAAATGAGGAACTCCACCATCCTTTTAATATCAACTTAAGTGCACTTGTGTGCAGAATCAGTGATTTTTAACAAATTAATTTTGTTGATGACCAAATACAAGATATGAAACATTTAAGTTTTTTTTTTTTTTTTTTTTTTTCTTATTTTTTTTTTTTTAGAAGCAGTTGTCGATATCAAAAAGCCTAGTTTTTTTTTTTTTATTATAGTGATGAATTATTATAAACATGTAGAAAATTCGTACGTTTTGATGTTAATGGCTCTTTTAAAAAATGATTTTATTTTTTTTAAATATTCTTTGAAGTTTTTGATAATCCGCATCTGATTTACACCATTCAATTACAACAGTTAATATTTTATGAGGAATAAAGATAGGTGCTTGGTAGTACATTTACTGGACCCGGCGATGTATCTTTCTATGTAAGAATTTTTCGAATAGGTCGGGTAGACTGAAATCACTTTGGCTGACGAGTATGTTAAAATTATATGACTGAAATATGATGTTGATGAAAAATCATCCTTTCATTCAGAAAGTGAACTGTTAGTTTGATTTCAAGACGTAAAACCAAAATCAGGTACTTCATCAAGGATCAAGGAAAAAGATAGGCTTTCTATAGCTAGTTGAAACAACATATATTTAGAATAATAAGTTGAACCTATAGAAGATATATCCATATATGAATGTAAAAACAAATGAAATGTAATCACTTGTAAAGGATAATTGAAATATACATAGGTTACATTTCTTTCTTCATATTCAAAGTATTTTTACGGAGTTAGTCTTAACACAATTTACAGTAGCGATTGCTTCATAAGTAAAACTTTGTAATACAAATACAAATGTAACATTGGATAAACAAGTTTGAAAGACATGTGTAAACAGTTCAATAAAAAGATGTGTTCTTTTTCTGTGTAAACAAGATAAACAATAAATGATGAAATCATAAAACAAAAATTAGAAAAAAAAAAAAGTTGACCTTTTCACGTTTCTACAACGCCATTTTAATGGATTGGGAGGAAGACACTTATGAGATCTGAAGTGGCCACTTCAGTGTTTCTACTCTGACAACTGCACGTATCTGTTCACCTAAGAGCTTGGTTACACTTCTTCAAATCAAGGCAGACACACGAACACATCCTGTTTTAGCCCGAGAATTTTTACTTTTATTTATTTTCTTAATATATGTATTGCAGAGGATGAAACTCTGTCATTTAGTAAAATAAAAGTGACAGAACTTACCGAAAAATAACTTCATGAAAGAATTTCTTCCCACATTTTTCTGGCAAGATCCAATAGACAATTGTACAGTTAAATCCTGTGTAAATCCCCACTTATCTTATTTTAAAATCTTTTGCTCTGTAGGATGGATCAGCCTCAATTAGATAACAGAAAACAAACTTTAATGTATAATTAAATATATTTATTATAACATAAAAGAGTGCCTATAGATTTAAATAAAGTACTTTTTCATGGGTTAGAAAACTAATAACGCAAAGACATATAGATAACATTCATAAAACCTCCTCTTAGAAAAAAATCAGTATTTCTTACAAAAATGTAAATTGATTGCCTCTTCTTTCTTTTAAGCTTGCACCTTTTGTATTTTAAATTTAAAAAAAAAAACAACTTTTTTTTAATGTATATAAATTTTACACTTATTTATGCAAAAGAGTGGTTTATTTATTTTCAAGGGGGGGGGGGGGGGGTATTGTTCAAAAAAATAAAATTACATGTAATTTCCTACACGAGCATAAAAACGCAAATTATATTGTAAGGTTATAAGGGAATGTTTACAAAAAACACAATACTTTACACTTAGAAATGTAATTAATGAGTACACTGTGCCAGAATTAGACGTCAATTCAGTTCAGATATTAATACAAGCACATAGAAATTTAATACAATTAGATATTAAGCTTCTGTTGGGGCTATAATTACACATGTCGGGCAGAACTTAAAAACAAGGGGGAAAAAAGGTTTCCACTCATCATGAAGATTAGAATTTGTTTGGCCAGTTATGGTGCTTGGTTTTTCCATTGCTTTCGTACTGAAGTAGACTTCACATAGGACCTAGTCTTTCCCTGTAATGTAAAGTAACGTAAGGAATGAGAGGACAATGAAGCCCTCAGTTGTTAATTACAAAAGAAAGAACGTTTATTCCCTAAGTTCTACCTCTGTATTGAAAAAAACCAAAACATGTGCAGTATATTTAAGCTACATTTGCCTTATATGAATTTCATGTCCAAAAAATTATCTGATAAGTTGATTTCACTAACATGTATGTTTAGCTTTTAACGTAAAGTTTACAGAGGAGGAAGTTGTATTTATTATTGCTTGCCTTCACGTGAAATTTCAGCACTTTTTTTCGTATCAAATTCGTATAGACGGATTTTTCCTCTTGATGGGTGTGTTATGTGAACGGTTTAACATTTATAGTGCACACAGCTCCCGGTATGAGCAAAATTAACAATACAAAACTTAATCCAGTGATGCACTTATATCATATTTAAATACCTTTTCAAAACGAGTGCAAACAGTATGCTGAAACAGGCGACACTTGTGGTTATTCCCGCTATTTCGATTATCGACGTCATCCGACGTTGTAGTACATGAACTATAATGTAAAACATATTGCAGATATATCAAATTCAGTGATGTCATTTAATTAAATTCAATTACCATTTTCCAATAAACATGATTTTCTCTCTTTCTTCTGAAAACTGAAATAACCATATCTATATAAATTGAAGCTGATTTTTATGTCGTAATTTCCTCAAATATTTCTGGAAATAACATTAACCTATCAATGTCAATTTCTGAAATAATATTCCAATTATCACTGTCAAATACTTAACTCGGTGCAATTACAAAATCAAACTCTTACAGACCATTAATCTTCCCTAAGCTAATTCATACTTCTCTGGAAGCTTTTTGATATATTTTACTTTTTATGTAATATAAAAAGGTCAATACAATACAAATCTGTTTCTTCTTCATTATAATCATACAACAACAATTTTTACTGAAACTTCACTACAAATACTAATTTTTTATGTAAAATATCATCATATATTTACATTTGGTGTGTTTTTCTACTAAAGCAACTATTAAATTGATTTGAATGTCATTTCTGTATATACTCATGCGTAGAAATATACCCGTAGAAACTCACACTGCAATGAGGTTTCAGAGACTTATCAAAATATAACTATATAGGGCCAAGAAAAATCAAAAACATGCAGTGTATTTTTGCTGCTTTTAGATATGTAAAATGTAAGTATAAGGTTTTTTTAAAACAAAAATTCGTGTGAGTTATTGGTGTGTAAATTACAAAGACTTGCACGAAGGGATAGTTTTATAGCGCGCTTCATTAAATGAGACTGTGTGATTTACAAAATTAACTTAAAAAAAATTCTTATTCATTCATTTATACATGCATTAAAAAAATTGAGCTGTATTACACGTTTTTAATAAATAAAGAAAGTACATAAAAAACCCTTCAATTTAATTTAGGATGGAATACAGGCAAAGCCGATATATGTAGTATGACATACTACATCAAGGATAAAGTTAAAATCTACACTACCATCAATACAGAATGCTCCTGCGTAACCCTCTTTACATTTCTCACATGTTCCGTTCTTTTTATCACACACTGAGAGGCAGCCTTCACTACAAACTGATTTGCAGTGACGTCCATAAGTTCCGTTCAGGACAATCTGGAAAATGTTATCAAAATAAATATTTATGATACTTATGAATACGATACTAAGTTAGTTGCTTAAAGTGCAATAAATATTCTTATTTTCTTGGGTCAAAGAGGGTCATTTTCTAACATCATTGCTTGATAGTCTTTATGATTTCTTAGAATTTTTTTTAAACAATAACATAACGACCAAATTTTGTATTTTATGTAATAATCATAACCTGTTTTCCTGTTTATTAATTAGACATAATGAATCTAGAACATATTGATTTGCTTCGAATCATGACATTAAAATGTAAGATTAGGGAATTCTCTGAGGTTACAGACTTTTTCAAAAATGAAACAAGATTCACTCAGACAAACTGTCTAGGCAGTGATTGTTTGTTTATTTATATCAAGTGATATTTTTGCTAGAAACTGCAGTTTTATCTTAAATATATTATTTACTTATAAACTATTTTATACGTTAAGCGTTTATCAAATATTTAATTGTACATGTGTGTTGATAAACACATCATTCAGTTTAGACAAGCATAAGTCTACAGGATAATAATAATACTCTACATTAAATATCTGTACAGATTTTTTTTAAAATAAACATATGTTAAGATTATGTTTTTTTTTTCATTCCAACACAAGCATAGCATTTCTATTCCATAGCAGTTATTCTGCATAGCATTTATACTGCATGTCATTCATAAATCATACATTTTTTTCTTCATTTCATGCATATTGAAAACTATTTGAAAAAAAAAAATCTTTTTATGGAATGGAATACCATATGTTAGATAGAAAATGCACTGTAGTTTAATTAAGTCATATGATGAACGATTTCATAATATTATTAATGACAATAATAAAATTCCGTTTCTTTAAAAATTTTTGTCATCATGAAATACAAAAGAAAACAACAGAAACTTTGAAAGATTTATTCCATCGAATCAATACAAGTTATATTTACATAAAAAGACATTTCTAAGAAAAATATTGCCAATAGAGGAGCGGAAGCAGCACTCCATCCTAGAACATGTACACCTTCTGTTGATTTTATGTTTTCAAGTATTTTTTTTTCTCAGTTGTAACTCTAGCAGGGTATCTGTTGAAGGAACAATCGCTCTCTACAATATTGAACATTTTATATAATAATTTGTCGAGATTATGTTTAGTAATTAAAATACATAATAAAGTAGTTCATATGTTTTAAACATTTTTTTTCTTCAATAATGAAAGCATTTTTCAATTACATACAGTGTATATCTTCCACACATCACAAACTAATATTCAGCTAATCTTAGCTCAAACTTTAACCAACTCTCAATCCTGTTGCCCATAGAAAGCAAGGGTTACACCTATTTTAACAAAGAAAACAAAATAAATTGAAGCTTATATGGATGAAAAATAGGTTGCTGAAATATCTAGGAAAAAGGAATTCTTAACATAAATGTTCAGTCATATTTATTTTCAAATGTTTAGTCATTGTTGCTCTTAATGCCACCCTTTATGTAGTGATGCACGAAAAAGATTAAGATAGCAAAAAGGAACTTTACAGCTCACACAGTCAGATAGAGTGCTTCCTGGATTTTTTCAGCAGGTATTACTAGATGCATATTCAGCACTCCACCCCATCGGTTGACTTTGATAAAAAAATGTATTTTTGTCAAAATTTGTTTTAACATGAAGTAGAACATAACTGCTAATAATTAGACAGGGCCATTTGTTAAAAAAAAAAAAAAAAAAAAAAAAAAAAAAGTCAAAATAAATGAGCTAGAAGTAATGGATAGAAAATTCCAAATATACAAATATTACTAACATGTACATGACAAATCCTTTCCGTTCCAAAATTGGACATGGCTTAATTGTATTTGGTTAATACGTTAACCAAAGATTTGTTTCACGACTTGTGTATACTTTACAAGTGTAGCATACCACGATTTTGCAAAAATGAAATAAAACTTAAATCCTCGTTAAAAAAACGTTTTATGAAAACTTACCAAGACTTACCGAGAAAAACTGTGGAAGGGATGGTTAAATTGGAATAAGGAAACGTAACCTGTAACTTTCTTCCTACTTAAGCTTATCTGTAACAAGAAAGATATTTTTTGTGCTCTTTTTATTTCAAGAAGATTTATGACAAGTCTTTCTCTCAAACACGGAAAAATTTTTTTTCTCATACATATATGTACATTTTGTTGAAAAAAGAAAAGAGAGAACATATTCTCATCTCAGAGAAACAAAAAATTATTAATTACCTGTTTAAATTTTAATGAAATTGGGGAGGAAAAGGCTTAGCCTTCATTCATAATCTTTTGTATTTCTGAATACATTTAGATAATACTATATAAAGATAGCGTCATGTCGGTACAATAAATATGCATTACTTTTCCAAGGAAATAAAGAGAAATAATCCTCAATGGCTGACCATTTCATTCGTATACATCATACAAGTATGTACATACCTCAATGGTGTTCAGTCACCAAAATTATATTCCCGTTAAAATACATATGCTTCAGAATTTTTGCGAATTGCCAACTTGATAAGCGAAAAAGAACTCAAAAAAGATAAATTTCTTAACAAAAAATTATATTTAAACAGCATATTTTAAAACGAGTAGAAAATTCTCATCTTCAAAGTGCCCAAATTATATCAAGCGATCACCTTAGGAATTTAGGAATCCAATGCAAATTACATCTTATGACCTCAAAAGCAATAAGGGAGTTTTTATTGCAGGTATTTGTTCTCCATTGCGAGCTATATGACACTTAAAATTAGAAAAAAATGGCTCTCAAATAAAAGGAACTCTTATAATCTCTATATTACATGTAAATACCTTTCTAAGTTGAAGATGTGTCTAGATGTTTTGGCTATATATCTAATAAATGTGTTTATTTAATTGTCGGGCATTCTTTGTTAAATGAATATCAAAGATAAAGAATAATCGGACTAAATATAGCTTATTTAAAAAAAGGAACTAAGATAACTTCATGCGTACAATTGCTCTATCCATAAACCTCAAAATTGACTGTCGCCCTATGTTTCATTTAAAACATCAGTATAAAGTAAATTGAATCTTTTAAGCGTCTGTGTATAAGACAATAGTTTTTGTTTTTTGCTTTTGTTTGTTTGTTTGTTTTTTGGCAGAAAACATCTTAATTTTGGTAAAAAAGAAGAAAAAAAAAACACATGAGTACACCTCTCTATCCCGAAAAACAAAATGAATAAATAAAACGTTCATAAAATATTAATTGTATGGCAAAGTTGACGAAAATCATAAAGTCATGATGAATAAAGAGAGATATACGACAATTTTGATAAATCCTTATCACCAAGGGCACTGTCAAATAAAACTGCTAAAGGGTTTTGAATTTTCAGATTAGACATTCATTTGATCCAAACTTATAGCGATATTTGATGAACTTTAAAATTTTAGATGCCACCTCTATCCCATCTCTGTATTGTTTCAATGTACTTTTGAGCTTGATAACTTTTCGTTATCTTCCTATTTCTTGCCGAAATGACAGCTTTTGAAAAGAATTGTACAAATTGTATCAGTATTTTGATGGAGAAATCCCCTTTCCCAACCCTCGCCTGATTGACTTTGTCTAATTCAACCCCAAACCCAATTTATATGTTTTCCTGCCATATTTGTAATACGAGGATTGTTAGAAACGTTCGAAGACACACTGCTTTACAAAAAATTTATTGTGTACTTTGAAGAATGACGTATGTCGTATTTTTATGACGTATTCTTGTATTTTGTTTATTAGTATGTAAAAAAATTACTAAAACTTTGAAAATATACAATGATATATACAATAGGAATCACGGAACAATTCGCTGACGTTAGGTGACGTGACAACCCGATTCGATATCTGTTAAGCTTTATCACAATTCTAAATATCTTTCATTTATTAAGAATTCCCATGCCTTTGTCCTGCTTAAAAATTCAATTCTATATCAAGGCATGTTACTTTTTTTTCTAAAATGTTTCTGTTGCGTATCAGATATTAGTGAGATCTTCAAATCAGTGTCTACGCAGTTAAGTGGTCAGGTATAGAAACAAAGCAAAATCCATAGCTGCAACGCCCATGCAATAAGCAGGGTATTGTGGTATTGCAGGAGTTGATCATCATAAATGTCAATCCTCCCATTCCTACAAAGTTGCTACCATTTGAACTCTTTGGATCTAAATGCATGTAGGCAATCTCCAGCGGTATCTTAAACGTGTTTACTCTTTTTGGGCTATTTTCTTGTCTGCACACATAATTTTTAATAGCTAGGTTCTCCAAGACGTTCAGTGACGTTGCCATTCTATCATAATTAGCGATAAAACAGTCATTACCCCTCAAATTTGATTAAAAATTTCTCCAAATGACATTGCATGAACATTGTAGCGACAAGTGAATTATCATAAATTTTAATGCGCTAGAACAGTGCAATTTCTGATTTCAATTAAATGAAATAAATGTTAAATTATATGTAATGTTAACGTGCGAAAAAGTGAGATGCACCGTGAAGCATGTTTTATCTAATTCATATAACCATATTTTTTTTTAGGATCATCAAAAAACACAAAATCTTTGCATATTTATATTGGAAACTACTTATAGTTTGTCTGCAGGGATATACTGGTTTCATACAAATCGCGCTCTCAGATTAGAACTTTTCCTCAAACTTTTCTAAAAACACTCCTAGATTACACTTAGTGTTGCTATGTTGAAATGGTAATTTTTAATTTTGAAGTATACTGATAGCAATGCATAATAATGCATTTCAAAATAGTCTGTCTCCTTCCGCCCTTTGCGATCAAGTCTCTTAAAGTTTTGCATGCATGGAGCTATAAAACAGTTTTTGACCAAACAGTTATAAATCTCTTAAAGCAATTCCACGAAGCAAGCCAATTCTGGTTAACAAGATGACTGACACAATGTAAAATAAACATACTTATCAATGCCTAGCAGCACACAAAGGAAGTGTACAGATACCCAAGCATTGGAAAAAACCTTTTTTGGCATTGGAGTGCCCAGGAAGCAAAATTTGTAAAACTGTCTTTCTTTTGATTTTTTTTTTCCAATAGTACATGCTAAAAATGAATAGCCACATATTTTAAAAGTCACCTATATGCGCATTTTTGTTGATTTTAAATAAAAAGCATTACTGGGGAAAAAAAATAAAATTCAAGCATTCAAATAGTTGGATCTAGCTAAATTGAAAAGTTTGTTAAAGCTTTTAGTGCCTAATTCAAGCTATGTAGCTTAAGCAATGTATTTAACCAGGTCTGTTTAACATGGCAAATTATGTTGAATATCCCCTTTAAATTTGTCACTTACTCTGATTGTAATCCTATCTTGCAACTCTTTCAACATATATGTCATAAGTACTATAGGATGAATTTGAAAATACCTGTCACTTTTAGGATCCGATAGATATCCGATACAAACTCACCAGCAAAAGTGTTATTACATATTTTGGTACATAAGTCCTACTGAGAAGCGTTCAATATTTAGCATTTTTGCCATACCTAAAGGATTGGATCCATGGTGGCAGACTTTTAAAAAAAAAACACTGATTATTCTATGCATCCAATAATTTAGGAAGAACCCCTGAGCATAGGAAGCATTTCAGAGTAATGTTAAAAAATTATAACGTCTTAAGAATAAGGGGATATACTTGTTTTAAATATATCATGCCAGAATGTTGAAATGTTGTTTTTAGGTTAATATTATTATCTTACGAGGTTGAGAAGTTCATTATGTAATTAAAATGCATTAATCTTTTGAAAATCTTCTTTACTTATGATAACTAGTAGACAAATTGAGTACACGGTGATAGCAAGCAAATTTTCTTTCTTTAAGTTAGATAATACATCTAACCCCTAGGAGGGACACCCCCACACTAATAAATACCGGGAAAAACGGTGTAATATCTTGAAAATAGTTAAGATCCCAACCTTCGATAATATTTCTTCCAACTTATTTCAAGATTCATTGAGTATTATGTTTAGCAAGTGCTCCCAGGTTATCCCTAATCCTCTCATTCTATAATTGTTCAGAAATTTTTAAAACGGTTGAGATCTCCATCCCTAAATCGTTTAAATTCTGGCTGCTTATGTCAAGATGCATTCAGTATTATGTTTTACAAGTACCCATGATCATTTGTACCCCTCTCTTTTTTTAGTGTTTAAATATGATTAAAAAGGTCGAAATCGCCCTATCATAACCAGATATGTTCTTGTTACTCATGCCAAAATACATTCAATATTATGTTAGACAAGTGCCCCGAAGTTTATCCCCAGTCCCTCTTTTTATTCTTACGTCATGATACATAGATGATCTTGTTGAACAATGTACTAGGGTCATCTCTAACGTCCTCAATTTTTAATTCTTCAAATATAATTTAAATGGTTCGTATTCCAACCTCTATACCAAATATATTCTTTCGACTTGTGTCAAAATACATTGAGCATTATTATGTTTGCAGTTTACGGTAACATTCCCAACCGTCACTTTTATATTTGGTCAAATATTTTTATTCAAACCAAATGCCATATAATCTTGTTAATTATGTCAAGATTTATTGAGCATTATGTTTGGTACGTGCCGTGGGGTTAACCCCAACTTTCTCAATCTATAATTTGTCATATATATTTTTTTCGACTTTTGAGATCACCTCCCCTAAATTTTATATATTCCTGTTGTTTATAAGTGCGTTTAGAACAAAGAATTCATTTGGTCAAGTGTCCCCTGCGTTTCCTTATCCCTTAATTTTTTTTTAACTATTCAATTATCTTTTTTAAAAAAAAAAAAAGAAAAAAAAAAGATAATTACATGTATATTCCAAGAGATGAATCGGCTACTGCGAAAAGATTGAAATGAGTTCGAGTTACCAGGGTTTGTAGAAAACGTTGTCCCCCTATCGCCTCGGATGAAAATCAAAATTCTGAATCTACAGGAGACAAACAATCATAATGCAAAACATGAACGGACTACTGCAAAAATGTTAAAGGACTTCAGGCAACCAATATTTTTGGGTAAAGGCTGTTTTTGACCCCCGATGGCAACCAGGTTGAAAAACAAAATTCCTACAAATTATATTGCAAAATATCAATGGGCTACTGCAAAAAATTATAAGAGTTGAGGTAACCAGATTTTTTATTTTTAAAAAAGGATCTTTTTTCGACCCCCATTTGCCCCGAGGCTGAAAATCCAAATTCCGAAACCTTATTGCACATCAAAAGGAGACCATATATATAATGCAAAATACGAACGGACTACGACAATGCATTTAAGAGGAGTTCAGGAAGCTGTTTTTTTTTTTTTTTTTTTTTTTTTTTTTTAGGAAGCCGTCTTTTTTTTTTTTATCCCGAACTTACCGCAGAATGAAAAAAAAAAAAAAATCGGAAACCTTATTGCACTTTTACGGCACATCACCAATCAAAGTCCAAAATACACAGCGTCTGCAACTAAATGTAAGAGAAGTTCATGGAACTAAGTTTTGAAGAAAAAACGTTTTACCCCTATTTAGCCCCAAACGTAAAAATTTCAAAATCTTATTGAATGTTAAGGGTATAACCGATCATTTCCTAAAAAAAAAATGTGACTGACGTACAGATTGGTTGGATAATAATAGTGGATTATACCTTAAATTAATTTAGAATGTGCGGGTATAATACCTGTCTAGATTTTTTTTAAGCAAGAATGGGCTAGCTGTTAATGTTAAGATGATTTACTTTGTGTTCTAAAGTTTGACTGACCCACATAACTATGAGTTAATATTTTCCGAGGAAATATGCAAGTTCATTTTTATTGATCTTTGAATTCTTCTACCAAAACCTGTAATTTCTATACAATATTTTATATCTGATTTTAAATTTTGGAAAAATTAAAAACATTTTTTTTTCTCATGGTAATAATTTAAGCTGCTACGAATATTCAATTTTATGATACATGTATATTGTTTTTTAAGTAAAAAATGTGTTTAACTGGCATTTGCTTACAAATTGGAACAGGTATATTGATTAGGCAAAGGCAGAATGAAATACACCAATCATCATCGATGTTCACCTTTTTTTTAATCTCAGACTGATTAAACAAAAGGGATATAAACAAATTAGAAGGATAATTGAATAAAGCTTTATTATAATATAATTGAGAGGCTTGTTACACTAGAAAGGAAGAAAAATAAACATTAAAATTGGTGATTACAGAGCGAGCAAAAACACTAAAGTTAAATATTTATTTTTGATACTTTCAAAGATTATGAAATGTTTTAATGTATAAGCATGAAAAGATGTCGTTTATTTCATCTCATACATTATCAATATACTAACTATTCAGTTTTTAATATTAATTTTGCACAGGCCCACATAAGTCAAATGAGATATTATAAAAAGATAACTCATCAACATTGCTAATTATTCTCGGTGAATGAGTAATTTTATTTACAAACGGCATATACATTTAGTTATTGTACAATTCTTAGACTCTTTCAGAGAATTCTTCTATTTTAAGTCGGTCGGGGATGTGCCGTTTGCCTTTAGTTCAGCTTTGCCCTTCTTAAAAGCTAGAAATTCTCTAACAGAGTTTAATATTTTCCTCTGAATTACAAGAAGTTGAGAAAACTCGCTTTCTTCACATTTATCTCCATGATATCCAGGTTCACACAACCCCAAACAAGATCCGGTCACGTGATGACACGGTTTGTTACCTCTGCAGTATCCACAACGTTCCTTACATTCTCTTCCATACCAGCCATCATTGCAGGCTAAAAAATAATTGAAAATAAGAAAAATAACTGATAATGATTTAATGTCAGAGGTCTCTACTGCTTGCTTATCATACTTGGTGCAAATTTCCAAAATGTAATTTAAGACTCTTCGATCTAAATCCCACATGGAAAGGTAATCTGAAGATTCTTGTTTTAAAAAAAAGAGATCTTTTCATCAGTTCCTTTACTTTATGCTAAAAGCAATTTCTTAAGAGATTAAGGACCCTCTATACACTAGAGGAAAATATTTTTTGGACATTAAGAAAATTATAGTGTGTAAAGGTGTAAGTATTGAGCTTATCTATCACATTCTCAACATAGGGTACCTTGCATTTACCCCCAGGAAAAATGTTCAATAAAAAACTGATGAACATAAATCACTCTTGTTTACTTATATTTTTAAAAGAATCTCCTTTATATTTTTTTCATTATCTCCTTCAAATAATTTATTTCAATAGTTTAATTTGCCTTGTTCACTTCGTAGCATACGTCCTCGTGAAATCGCCGTTCATTTTTTCCCGTTTGAAATAAAATTATGACAGCCTGATATAATTTTCAAACCTTGATTGCATTTTCTGTCTCTTCTGCGTATCCATCCTGGTGCACAATTTCCCTCGGGACAGGAACCATTCACGAGGTTACATGTTGCATTATTGGCACAGTGCCCACAGGCAGAGAGACAATTTTTGCCGTAGCTCCCACCTTTACATGCTGTAGTACGTTAAATTAAAAAAAAATGAATGAAGAAGTATTTTATATAGAAAATCAGAATTTTAGCTATAATAGTAAATCAAAGTATTTTTACTACGAGTTTCAACCTTTCCTAAAATTCTTACAAACGATGATTTAATATCAAGAGGGGTTTTTTTAATATCTATAAATTATCAAAATAATCATCATTAGTATGGAATTTAAGAGATAATTAGGCTGGAATGGCAAGAAATTCTACAGTTAAGTTCCATAGTCAATCAATCTATTAAATATCTACTATAGTAAATTATCTTTAAATATGAATATTGTTTGTGAGGGTCAATTCTATCAATGAAGAAATCATTTATTTTAATGCCACAAATGCGACCCTCTATGCATTACTGCCTGATTTCCTTGTTCTTTACCTTTTATATAGACCATTTCTCCGTAAATAACATGCTGCAACACTAGTTCTTTATATGTCAGATGTAATTACCTTTGAAATGAGACTTATCTTGACGTTAATGGTCAAAATTTGCTGTTGATATATCATTAAAAAAAACTGAGATAAAGAGACGACTCCAGATATACATATATCATTTTAAAATTAAAAAGAAAATATATATAAAAGTAAAAAAAAAAATGTATGTGGGTTTTTTTTTTTTTTTTTTTTTTTTTTTCTTCAGGGAAAGCAATTTTATAAGTAAATCAAACAATAGTTCTAATTTCAATGTAAAATGCATTTGGGAGAAAATAATTCATGTAATCTGTGGAAACATATTCGACTTATGCCGCTATATACCATAATTGCCTGCATATGGAGTTTATGTATCCTAGCTGATTCCATACGAAAGAGCAATTTCTATGTAAGATCAATTTCTAAAACGAGGCAGGTTACTGTCAAATAATTTGATGATACAAAGATATTAACAATGCGTTTAAAGTCAACATTTCATGAATTCTTTTGTTGATGTATAACTTTGTTTGCAAATGCAATCTAAAGTTAGGTCGAATGTTGACTGAAACTATAATATAAAAAAACATGTTAAGCCATTATTCTCACACTATATTTTCCACTGAATTTTTCTTTCATACGACCATGACAACGAGCAAAAAGTGGGTGTTGCCTGTTGGCAAGAAATAGTCACTCCTCTACGGCACGTAATCCAATATCTGTTTTTAGATGTCTGCGTTTGTACAGTTTAAATGACTTTTGAGCGCGATTACTGTACTTTACCCTTACATATTTTTTTTTCTAAATAAAAAAACACTAATATTTTATAGTTAATCTAAACACATGGACAAATGAAGTGGTACTTGGGGCACTCATCGGACAATATATATATCTGCAGATGAAATTGGTCTTTCATCAAGCTCGAAAAGGTTGCGTCGCTAAAAAGAAAGTGAAAGGAGGGAATATAGATTTCAGAAGTTGCCTATACATTTACATTTCAATGTGCGGTAGAGTTTTGGATATGTAGTACACTATAATGTAAATATCTTTTTGAGGGCAATTTATATTTTCTAGTCAGAGTGTTTGTAGGTTTTAAACATGGTTTTCGTCTGGTCTGAAAGTATCTGAGAAAGACTAATTTAGAGTAGTAAGGAGGGATCTTCTACTTTAAATTCAAAATAGGTCGTTAAAAAAATTACAAAAGCATGTACTTGTACCTTGATTACATCTTCCATCAGGAGAATATATCCAACCTGATTCACAGAAACTGGAAGGACAGGTACCTGTTACGTGATTACATGCTGCTTTGTTTTCACAGTGTCCACAGGGAAGACTACAATTCCTACCGTAGAAACCTTGCTGGCATTCTAGAAATATATATTTATTTTTCAAGCATAATTATCATTTCTTGTATAATATTGAACAGTACATTTTTTTGCAAGTATTTTTCTTCAAACTGCTTCAATCCAGTATAGTATTCCTGTAAATTTCTAAAAATATTTGTATCTTATGTTTTCCCTTTCATTTATTCCATGTATGTTTTTATATGATATGAATATGTTGTTGTTTTTTTCTAAATCGGAAATATTTTACGTCAGTTCTAATACAAAAAGAACCTTTCATTAAAGACAATTAAAGGGACCAAAAATTCATGCGTTGAGGGGCTAAAATCGTTTTTGACAAAATTACAATTCTCACATTTATGAAGAGAAACTTTTCATCTTATAAATAACTCTATAATAGCAAATGAATTAAAAATCAAGCTGTAAAAGTAGGCAATGTTTTACTTTTTTAATGTTTTTAATTAGCTTATTCATACTTTATTAGTCGCCCGCGTGGCACAGTGGTAAGAGCGTCTGCTCTAGAGTCGCGAAGTAAGGAGTTGATCCTTACGTTGCGGGTTCGAATCCCACTATGGGACGTGGAGACCGGTCCTTCGGATGAGACCGCATAAACCGAGGTCCCGTGTCGCAGTAGGTGCTGGCACGAAAAAGATCCTTCATTGCTCAATGGCCGTAAGTGCAAAACATAGGACAAAATTTGCAGCTCCCCACCGGCAAGTGGTGGCGTCTCCGTATGAGTGAAAAATTCTCGAGAGGGACGTTAAACAACATACAATCAATCAATCAATCATTCTTTATTGTTAATAATTTTTGTACCGTGTACAGCCTTCAAGAAAGACCCAATCTATATGAATATTTTTTTTTCTATTTGGAATAAAAGTAAAACATTCTTTTAAATTTTACTCACCCTTATCACATTTCCTGCCGTTAGTATGTGTCCATCCTGCTTCACAATTTTCATCAGGACAGGAGCCAGTCACCTCGTTACATGTTGCATTATTAGCACAATGTCCACAGACAGAGTTACAATCCTTGCCATAGCTCCCACTTTTGCATTCTGTGCAAGTTTAAGATCATTAATTATAAAAAACTTGAAGGTATACAAAGCTATGTTGGTGTCAATTCTTTCAATGAATAAAATGTCTTAGAAAAATTTCTCAACTGTAGTAATATTCTGTTTTACTTGCATTTTTTTTTTTTTTTTTTTTTTTTTTTTTTTTTTTTTTGCCTTTTTCAAAAAAATCAAGAGTTTGTTCCATAATATGAGGTTTGCTTTTTGACTTTTCAAAGTTGTTCCTAAGAAGAACATAATTACCAGTAAATGGCACGGGCCTACATTGGGTGTTTCTTAATTATCTGCTTTTGAAAAAGACATTGCTGTTTAATTGAAGAATCTTAATTCCGTTTACCTAAAATGTTTTATTGCAGGTTTGATTGAAATGGTTCATGATTCTCGAGAAGAAATCAAAAATAATTTAGCATATGATACGATACACATTACACGTTAGACCGTAGCTTTTAGTTTAAATGAGCTAAAAGAAAGAAGTGGAAAACCTCGTAAGATATGTGAAATCTAGTTAAGTAGTGCAATTTGGAAATGAAAGAATAACTTGTTTCTTCTAAGAGTTCAATTTTTGAGATTAATTTTTTAAAAGGGTACATGTATTTTCTACGATTTTTATTTTTGTTTTTTTTTTCACCATGCCTCAAACTTTCATATGGCAACATTTTTTTAAAAAAAGTTTACAGGCTTCACAGCTTAGATTTGTTTACAAAATATCTTAGAATTTAATAAACATCGAAGATTCTAAAACAGCAGACAAACGAATTACAACAAAGTATGGTTTCTAAGAATATTCCAGATTTATTCTAAATAAGATTGCATATATATTTTACTCTATTTTTTTTTTAAATGTACGATTATATGAATTCCAGTAAATAGTGTTAAGATAACTTTTTAAACTACATTCCGAAAGCAATGACTAAGTGGAGATCAACTGGTTAAATGTATTCAATATCTTTGTCCAACTCTTAGAAATGCAAGAGGCACTCCAACATATTGTCTCTCAGAATTTTTGTTGTTTACGTACTTGTAAATACATAGTTAGAAAGTTGCACTGTAATTCATGATTACCTTATGATTACCTTGATTGTCGTGTGATCGATGTTTTTAGCGTTCTCAAACACACGTGTTATACTGAAACTTCTGCCGCCGCCATACTTTGTTTGCTTGTGTATTTTCCCATGATGCTTTACGGTGTGTTGATCTATGTTTACCGTAGTTATTTTGGCGGAAGATTTGATTGTACATTCTGTTTAATGAAATCTTAAATGTGCTTTTAAAGCGTAAATTTATATTTTATTAATTTATTTACTTATTGTAATAATTTTACATACGATGTACGAGAGTGAGATTTCATTACGGGATGATAATTATGTATGATTAGCTTATTGCAGGTTTTGGAAGTTCTATAAATACACAGACGCTGAATATCTGGTGCTCTCTCGTTTCCTTTGTGTCCCGAAGAAAGTTCGCCAGTTTTTGTCCAGTCATTGTGTTAGTTTCATTTATTATTACTAGTTAAGAACTAGTTATTTCTATTTTCTTTAAGAGTTAAAAAAATATTTCTACTGCATACTAGTAGTTGAACTAATAGCGGGAATATTTATTTGTAAATTTAGTCATTTATAAGTTTATAGAGAGTCTTTCCGGTTTAGTTTGGTCGAGGGAATTTATACATAAATGTTATACTGGAAATAGTGCCAGTTTATATCCGTCCGTATCAGTTGTTGATTTTTGTCCTTTGTCCCAAGGATTGAGACTGTTATTCATTTTCGCTGTTGTTTTACTGAATAAAATTATAAAAAAAAAAATATATATATATATCGGAGATTTTGTTCTCAACACATGGCAGGCGTTCCGAAGCTTTACAGTAACTAGAGTTAGATACTCCGATTGATGACGTCAGAACTTTTTTATCAAAAATTTGAGAAATATACATGCAATGTAATGAGAACTGGAAATTTAAATATGGGGTCTCGAATCAAACATATTGGGTATTGTACGTGATTATATTGAATTCATGTTTGTTAACCAAGAATATTAACTTATTTTTCAACAACCATTCCTCTTTGTGAAGACAATCAATAATTCGCTAATCCCGGCCGGTTTTTTCTGTCATTCGTGATCACAACAATGCGAGAAAAAAAAAAAACTATATGTTGTGTCCTATCCTGAGCTTCTCTCCTGGGGAAAAAGCCACACAGGTTCCCCCTTGGAGTTTTCGGTTTTTTCATTGCACTCGGTACTTTTTTCTTGGTAACATTAAACCACATAATGACCTTACTGGGCTACTTCAGCAGACCTTTTATATAGGGAGAAGTATTTCTTGTAGAGAATGTAATTTACCCCCTTCGTTTGTGCTATATTGGGACCAGTATATAAAAAAGTGGACTTTGGCATATTGCAATATTAACGAAAGAGTATATTGAGGAAACGATTTATTTATTCAATAGCACCATGGGAACAACATTGTTTAAAGTACACTAAGGAAAAAAGTACTTTAGATTCTAATGAATAGATGTGTGTAAAAACACAGGCATTTAAAGTTTCTTCTTCATTCGATTAAAAAGTTTTATTTCATACACTCGTTTATTTTTTTTTTCCACTGTACTCTAGATGAAACATGGATATATATTTGATTACCTTTACAGTATGGCGGAAGATACCCATCACGAACGCAACCAAATCGATCACATTGTCCCGTTACATGGCAATCCATTTTACAATTTCCACATGGCATACATTTTTCTCCGTACTTCCAACGTGGACAACCTGTAATAATTAGGAATTGTGATACCATTTTAAACCATTCATCGAGATGTAAATAGGAGATGGTCACCTGATCAAATCCCATAAAACAAGAAAGGCTTTATGGTAAATTTGACGATCATTCATGACTTAAGAATAAATTTCTTATCATGTGTAATCACCTCTTTACATTGATATATTTCTAGAAAAGTAAATCCTTTTTTAATGAATTATGACATTATTGTTCATTTAAAAAAAAGATCGTTTGTAAGAGAGTAACAGGGAAAGAGAAAGAGGTTTTCTAAAAAAAAAAAAAAGAATGCGAAGTGTAAAAAAGTGGAAAAGAATGATCGATTGATTGTATGTTGTTTAACGTCCCATTCGAGAATTTTTCACTAATATAGAGACTTCACCATATACCGGTGAAGGGCGTCAAATGTTGACCTTTACTCGGCACTCAGGGCCATTGAGCAGTAAGGGACCTTTATCGTGCCAACACTATCGTGACACGGGGCCTCAGTTTTTAAGGTCTCATCTGAAGGACCCGCAACTTTCACTTCAAAGTACCGAGCACATGGCGAAGGAACAGTTACTACCCATTTTTCATCGACTTAGGTCAGTCGCGGCCGATATTCGAACTCACGACCTCCCGATCACGGAACAAGCGCTATACCGACTGAGCTAACGTGGTAAAGAATGATAAATACTCGAATGCATGATCGACATAGTAATTAAATTTGCAAAGGTGTCGTATTTTACCAGAATTCTTCAAATCAGACTTGGTTGAACAAAATTAGACTTTACAGCATACTTTTACACTTTTAACATCTAAAATTTCTACTTCCCAGATTACACGGGAAGGTAGGGGTTTCCTATTAAATCTTACAGTGCAACACAAGCAGGCAATTTTCTGAGCTACAGACATATGACTTCATACTGGAATTTGATATTGTCACTGCAAGCTTGAGCTGCCATGACGGTGAGTGTGACATTAACTACACTGCTTATTTCAAACAGAGTGTTAATATAGTATTATATTATCATTAAGCTACATGTCTTAATTGTTGTCTTAAGTTTGAAATTGCAATTATTTTAACGAATATTTGCTTTTATCTATCTATTTTGTTTCTTTGCCCTTTACTGAAATTAAGCGTATTGAATAGAAAAAAAATCTTTAAAACTTTTCCTGTTTAATCTCAGTGGTTAGTACGGAAGCGTAAAGGCCTCTATACTTGTTGTATTATATTTTTGAACACTGTCTTACTTTTTATTGTCTTATCAACATACACTAGACAAAATTGCTAATGCACCACTTATTATTCTTATTTATGAATTGATCATTTTTCTGATTGATAGTAGTGTTTAAAATATGCCATCTTTTCCAAAACAGTTGGATTGAAAAATGTCTTGGTGTCATGTCAAGACCCTTAAAGGATCTTCTTGTCCGAAAACCAATTTCCCGACGAGCACTGCGCACCGTTTTTGCCAAGATATGAAGTTGGTGATTACCGATGGTGGTCCATGACGTTGCGACAGTAGCAGTCTCCCACTTAAAAATCAAATGATATAACTCTGATTGACTACCATATCGCTTAGTAGTCATCCAGTGCCTTGGTGTCCCTACCAAATCCACCAACTTCCGGTTGCCCCGATTTTGTGAAACAATCTTGTTATTAAAAGTTGTTATCAAAGTTATTGTGTTGCTTACTTAATGTCGTCGATATCTATTGTAAACATTTTTATGATCGTTAATTCATTCTCAACAATTTTTCACCAGAGAAATGCATAATCTTTTAATTGTTTTAATTTTTCATAAATTTCTTCAAAGGAACCCCCTGCAGACACCATACTGGCTGCCTTATCACGCTCTTCTACAGTCATACGCCGCATACGGTGTAACTTTTTTTCTGAGTTTTTAATTACTGCAAACATAAAGAACACAACCATAAAAAAAATTTAGTGGTTACGCTTCCGTGAACATTATTGTTATTCATCAGTTAAAACATTTAAATGTCTTATTTTTTATTAAAGTAACGTGATGTAGTTAGCTCGACACACAACAATAAAAATATATGCAAATAGTAAAATTAATTTAAATATGCTAGTATTTCTATGGGAAAAGTTTGAAATTATTGTCCTATAACTAAAAAAAAAAAAAAAAAAAAAAAAAAAAAAAATCGCGGGCGCGGGAATTCCAGTGAAACGTCAAATCAGTCAGATTTATAGCCGGCACATGCACAATGTGCCATGTGTCAAGTGTCAAATATTTGTATGATTATGGAGAAAGATTATGATTAGAGTATGATTATTGTAGAAGAAGGGGGTGAGGGACATGATCAGTTAGATTTTCCCCATTGAAGCAGTAATCAATTCACATCAGTCTACCGGTAATTAATAATGAATTAAATATATATGCAAGTCTTGTAAAAATTTAATATTTATTTTTTTTCTTACGATAGAAATTCATCAAGATCTCTTTGAAATAAAAATTGTTTGCTTACAAAGTATAAATATTAATGTGACTAAAATAATTATTGACGGCTCCACCCCCCTCCATTGTTTCAATGTTCCATTCATAAATACATTTAGTACTAGTCCTATTCGGGGATGAAGCGAAAGTAACAACACATGTATTATAAAAGTGACACTGGCTAGGTACTCAGTAAATATTGAAGTTTTACTACGCTGTGGTAAACATAGGATCTGCCACATAGACGTGAACCTCCACAATCTTGACCCCTCCCCCATCTCGAAGTCAAAAAAATATAAGCAGTGAATCATGATAGAATATATATCAGATAAAATATAACTATGAGCACATCAGATCTAACTTCTTATTACTTAGAATTGTGTAAAATAATGCGTGCTTCATTACAGCCAATCTGCATAATTTTATAGTCAGAAAGTAACCGTAAAAAGGGAAAAGGATGGGGCTCATTCAAATAAAATATTTGAAAAAAGGAATCATCCAACCGCGAGAATTCTTCTTAATTTCCGGGATATACTAGCTGATCTTTAATATACTTAGGTAGCATAAAAGATACTCTTGCTCCCCCCCCCCCCTCTTCAAAGGTGGTGATGGGGACAGTAGCCCCCTATGATTATGCATATGATCTAACTGCTGATGTCCCTGCATCCCCTTTTCAAAACATTTTTGAATCAGTATCAGCCTATAATTGTATACGATAGCAAATACATGGTACAGCATCTTTCCCTGAATCCCGAGTGAAGTGAAGATTCATTAGAATTCCCGCCCCCGCGAAGTTAATTCAATAATAATATTTTCTCACTACTCTCTCGGAAAAATTCATATATTTATATTGATGTCTCGATATCTTTATTTTTACATATCAACATCACTATATTGATATGATTAAATATCTTGCTTTGATCAATATCTTAAAATCAATATATATTTTTTTCAGTCGATAATACTTATAAAAATAGAATTAATTAAATAAAAGAAGGTGCAATAAATCATATAAAAACATCTAAAATCAATTCAAAATACGTGTATAAATAAGGAGTTATAATACTTTATATGTTGATAAAACAATAAAATATAAGACACCATACATGTTATATAACACAACAAGTGTAGAGACCTTTACGCTTCCGTAGGTTAGAGGTTGAATTATTATCCGTATATAAACAAGAAAACATTGATATAACCATCAATTGTCGCCCGGGAAATAAATAAAGTAAACAATGGAAATGAGTCTTGATCATCAAACCGCTTCGATATGTGTGAAAAAGGCATGCGTCTAAATGATGGAGACGACAGTAGAGAATATTTTGAAAACTTATAATCGGATGAAAATCGAACAAAAACGATACCCTTTTAAACTTTATCAATTCCTCAAGTAAATGTTGGCTACATAAAATATAATTTGAAACCAGACACATGCATCACCTATTTTCAAAAATGTCTTTCACTTTAAGATTATAAAACACGAACTGTGTAAAGTACATTTTTACGTTTTTATGCGATAAGTAAAATTCGATGTTCTAAAAAAAGGGACCTGTCGTTTTTCGATAGTAAATGATAAGCAACTTTATATATTAAATATGAAAAACATATATATTTTTACAGATTCACTTTATGGAAGTAAATATATCGTGTTTCTCGTAATTTATAAAGGGAAAGAACATTCTGATTAACAATCTTTTTAATGTTTAGAAAACCTTTAATTCTGAATAACTTCTCCCACCTCAATCCCCATATACCAACATTTAAACTTATATGTATAGAGCAGCCCGGTCCTCCGGGCTGCAATAAACAAAAATAGTGGTTAGACGTTCGAATCCTCTTTGTGACGCAGACACCAGTCCTTCGGATAAGACCGTATAAAACGAAGGCCCCATCAAGTAGCCTTCAAATATAATTTGTCATGATTAATTTCGTTCACGGGTAATTCTTTGACATTTTCCAAGTACACAATGACTTGATGACTGCATTAAAGTAGGAAAAAATCCCCATGATTGATTTCGTACACTAGTAATTCTTTATTTCCTCCCAAACCCTTTTCAATTACACTAAAATATGAAAATTGTACTTATGTAGTAAAACGTACTGCGACGAATCTATGTAACACTTAATATTTTTCTTGTCTATCTACTGATCGATAAAGTCATATGATATATCAACAACAAACTGTATTCTTATATATAGAGAAATACTATATGAATATTGACTGTACTTGACTGTGTACATAACCACATTATCAAAACGGATCTCGCAATGTAATGATACTTTTAGAATGTTGTACAAAGTTTTCGGCAGCTGTAACATAGCTTAGCTCTAGAAAAAAGCTGGGGGCTACTCTTGACCTTTAAAAAAGTGTCATTACGGCGGGTCTTTTTTCACAGTCGGGAAAAATGATAATTTTAAACACTTTCGAAAGGTTTTGTTCTCTAAATTAACAACCTCTGACGATGTTGTATACATATCTTTAATTTTCTCTTTCTCTAGATCTGAATCTACTTCAAAGATGTTCCTCAATTCGCTAGCATTGAAAGTTAATTGAAATCGTTCTTTTTAAAACTCGCATGCAAAAAGCAATACCAAAGATTTGTAGTTCGCAGATCTCCAAAATGGCACCATACTCATCATGGATCTTATTAGTGTGAATCTTAATAAATCGAGCTGTCCGAAAACAATTCACTTCAAGTACTGTTTCAGGGGCAACAATTCCTTGGTCCTGATAACATGTGTCGTTTTCATCAAATCCTGGATTTTTAGAGGCAAGTATGGAAAATCCTTTGAGTCTGTAAGCACGAGCAGATCCGCCTTGAAAGATATTTTAACACTTTTTAACAATTCAGTGTAATAGAAATCATCACAAACTTGAAAAATGCACTCGCCTTAAATGCTCAAAAAACAAGTATATTTGTGTTACTTCTACACTTATTATAGAATTTAGTTCCATGAAAACTTACTAAATGGGATTATAATATATATATATATATATATATATATATATATATATATATATATATATATATATATATATATATATATATATATATATATATATATATATATATATATTGCACTTTGCCACTAATGTGACTTTAATTATAGAAATTACTTGTAATTAATTATGTAATAATTGGTCAAAAAATCCATAAAATTATTAATTAACTTCTTATTATCTACATGTATATCAAAAATTCACAACAGAATGAAGTCGAATTATGAATATGATTGATATGTAAACAGTGATTACCTAATATGTGGCGTAATTGATTACATAATATATAAAACCTTCTTGTGGTCTGAAACCGAAAACTACCTATAACAAATTCAAAAACAAAGAAGATATAGACAGAATTGGACTTCCTCTTAAAAGGAAAAGGTGGCGGGGTGGAGGCGGCTTAAAATAATTCGAAGCTATCCAACACACATGTACTTTTCACGGCGTCCTAAAAGAAACTGAAAAACGACGCTATCTGGACGACCGGGTCCAGATTTTTGCCGCGCATGATTTTCATTGGGCATTTACTAAATGTTTTCATTTCCAAGAATCACTTGCATTTGCCTCTCCTAATTTGGACACGCCACAAACTTCCAAGGATAATGCAAGCGCGATAACTCTAATTATACGCAGAGCATTCCAATGTACATAAAATTTTTTAAGTAAAACTTAAAATTCATTTATGTACAATTGCCAATGCAAATTCAGTTTGATAAAAATAACTAATCTGTGGAACTTCTCATTCTTTAACATTTCCGTGTACTGTCATGAACCCAACTCACAGTTATTGTACTATCGCAGAATTTTGAGAAACCGCCTTCATTCTCCATTTTCATAAACAACAAAACACTTAGGTATGTTGCACTTTGCCACTAATGTGACTTTAATTATAGAAATTACTTGTAATTAATTATGTAATAATTGGTCAAGAAATCCATAAAATTATTAATTAACTTCTTATTATCTATATCAAAAATTCACAACAGAATGAAGTCGAATTATGACTATGATTGATATGTAAACAGTGATTACCTAATATGTGGCGTAATTGATTACATAATATATAAAACCTTCTTGTGGTCTGAAACCGCCATGTACTTGATTAAATTTATACTTTAAATTAAATTTAATCAAGTTCAGACCCCAAGAAGGTTTTATATATTATGTAATCAATTACGCCACATATTAGGTAATCACTGTTTACATATCAATCATATTCATAATTCGACTTCATTCTGTTGTGAATTTTTGATATAGATAATAAGAAGTTAATTAATAATTTTATGGATTTCTTGACCAATTATTACATAATTAATTACAAGTAATTTCTATAATTAAAGTCACATTAGTGGCAAAGTGCAACATACCTAAGTGTTTTGTTGTTTATGAAAATGGAGAGTGAAGGCGGTTTCTCAATTTCTGCGATAGTACAATAACTGTGAGTTGGGTTCATGACAGTACACGGAAATGTTAAAGAATGAGAAGTTCCACAGATTAGTTATTTTTATCAAACTGAATTTGCATTGGCAATTGTACATATATATATATATATATATATATATATATATATATATATATATATATATATTGATAATATGTGTACAAAACATATTCAAAAAGTGCAATCATTTTTTTTTTTCATTTCCATCAAAAATACACGTGTAAACCTCACTTACTATCATCTCTGTACCATATTTCAACGCTTTTCAAATTGTAAATGTCTCCAAGATCTATCGTTAACCAAGCCTCTGACCTTCTTAGGTCTGTGTGCAAGCAGTTCGTGTAATGTTGATTATAATTCCCGTCAATTGCATAGTCGGCAGATCCTCTGGAAACTAAAGTTTTATATGTCGAACTGCTTTTCACTTTCGTTTTCCTGGTATCTATAAGCTGCTCTTTGAATAAAAGGAACACATAAAGATAAAATGCAGGATTACATATTGTGCAAATATTGTATGCCTAAGAGAAGCTCCTAAAATGATATTCTTACTCCACTTGCAATGCCACGCATTGATAGAGTGGGAATGGTCATAAGTTAGTGCACCAAACCCAATAGATTAAATATATTTTACTATTTATGCTATCTTTATTTGTCAGAATACGATGGAACAGAACATATACGTATGTAAGATTATGTAACACTACATATTGTTCTTGATGATGAAAAAAAAGGCACAACAATATGTATTCCATATTAAGGGATTGGTTTATGAAATCCTTTTAAATTAGTATTCGTCTCAAGCCAAAAACTTGACAATGCGGGTTTCTCCCTAAATATAAATTTCATTCCTTTCCAAACTGCTGTGTTGTTACAGTTATTAATACCACTGACTTAAACAATAAACATGTATAGTGACACATTGTTTACTTTTAAAATAATTTACTTTGATTAATTATCTAGAAATATTTACTTTAAAGTATTTGAGGAATTATTTAATCACATGAAACAAATATGCTCGTAAAAATATATATCATTAATAGATAACTATACTAACCATAGCAATTAGCAAATGAGATAATCATTACCCAGAGAAATATCAGACTTGTCAAATAGATCCATGTATCAACATCCATCTTTGTTCAAACCCAAATAATTTTAAAATAATGAAAAAAAAGTATTTCTTTACTTTAAATATAAGGAAATGACATCTAAAATTTTAACCGGACATCTGTACTTTTATTCATCATATTCTGTAGGGACATATGGTTGTGGAATGAAAGAATGTCAATTTTATTTATCAAATTAAACAGCCTGCAGAATGTAAGTGTTATCCCTAGGGGCACATCTGGAGCTTATCTTTAAAATGTCGATAAGACCAGTATTTTTCCTGTGCACTTCCTGTGCCAAATAGTTAACAAGGACAAGCATTCTTTAAAGGACATGTACATAGTAGCATTGTCGGTTTGTTTTCAATTTTAAGTGTCTTTTTCCTTTAAAAAAAAACGATACATTTAATGAGTTTATGAAATAACATGAAAATTTATGAAATTCATTGACCGGCATTCTTCATAGCATTCCATCACATATAAACACGGGCTCAAGTTCTGTTATTGTCAATGATCATATTTTACTGGGTGTGCTCGATTTGCTGACTCTGCACACATCACGGAACACGAACTGACAATACTAGTGTGTTGGTTTTGCTTCTCAAATTTCTAAATATTCTTTCTTAAAAATTTAAATCCTATAAAAAACCTTCTTTTTACAATTTTCTTAAATACATGTACCTAGGAGATAGTTTACATTTAAAAAGTACAATGATACATGTATATAACAATCAACCATGCCCTATTTTGAACTCTTGATAATTGTCATAAAAAAGATGTATATGAATAAAGATTTATTATATATCGATCTGCAATTCTCATGCAAAATGTGAGTCATAACATAATTGTATTCTAAAAAAAAAATGCCTGTTTTGGAAATGGTGAATTAAAGTTGACAAAGATTGAAAGACACAAGCAAAATTTTATGAATATTCAAAAGTCATGTATTTTTTTGATATGAGCATGATAAATTTTAAGAATATTCAGAAGTCATGTATTTTTTTGATATGAGCATGATAAATTTTAATGCATTTGTGTTATTCAGTTATACCTATTAAACATTAAGAACTAAAAGCAGTATACACTCGTGAACGATATTGAATATCCTTTATATATATAAAGGTAAGATGAATATTGATACTCAATTAATCGAACCTGGTTGTTTAATTAAGTAATTTTTTTTTCTAATAAGAACAAGGTACGGTTTCAATACATATCTGGTCCTGTATTTTTCTAAAATTTAGAAGTGATGAGAAACTTGAATTGATCCTTTCTGAATTATTGAAATCCCATGCAGTAAGAACATACAAATCGTTTTTTCCAATATGACCTCCTAAATGCTAATTGTGACGTCATGAACTTGTGTATTTTCCCGTATTTTCTTTAAAAGTTGCAGAAGACATCAATTTTGAGTGGAATTTTCTTTCTGAAAACATATAGCGTATGCATCGCCCACAAAGATTTTGAGATATGTGCTTTTTCAAAGCATATTACACAATATATCTAAAAATTGAAATGGGCGAGGGCTGCGGACACTATTTTCTAAAGGAAAATAAGCACAGAAATTTGTCATTTTTAGGATACAATAAAGCCCAAACCGTACCTCCTTCTTTCTCATAAAGCATATATATATATATATATATTGTTAACTATCGTTAACTATGTCAGCGAAAAAAAAAATGCTTGCCTTTCATAAATAAAATATATGTTCTAACGCTAACTGTACTTCTATTGCATCGTTGATTTATCCATCCGTCTTCACACCGTCCGGGACAACTTCCATCAACTTTGTTGCACGATAATCCATCTGCACAAAGTCTGCTGTATTTAGATCGAAAGTAAAAACCAAACGTTTCATCATCGTATTCTGAAATTATTTTTTCAAACACTGATATCTCCATGACTAATACCACAGATATGTCGAATTTATTCTAAGCATTTTAACCTTGATATCTCGACTACTTGAATATATAAGTTTTTCATCGGTCCAGTTGAGTTCGAAATAAGGATGTTTAGCTGTGTGTTTCAAATGAGAATTGTAGGTTTAATATCTCCTTTATTTCTTTACCTTTTCACGTCGTTTTACAGGTGATTGCTTCCATCCGGGTTCATGGTGACCTGGTTGACAATAATCTGTCACGTGGTGGCATGTTAAGTTTTTAGAACAGTTTTCACAGGAAGAATGTAATTCCTACCGTAAAAACCTTTTTTTTTTTTGCATTCTAAGAATAGACGCTTCTGTGTTATGTTACACTAGAATATTAAATCCTTGACATATTTTATCGCCGAAATATGACTGTAATACTGCCGACATTGTGTTAAACAAACAAACATATCAATCAATATACTTTTTTTAATATCTGAAAGAGAAACCCATTTTCACGAAACTCCATTATGTATTTTTATGTGAAATTTGTAATCTAAAGAAACACAAGTAATATATTGATATGAATAAATTTACTAGTAGTTTTCACTTTTTCTCAATAGCTAAACAATTTCAAGACTATCTCTCATCACATTTGAAATTGATCCAACCATCTGCACAAACCCCGCATAAGACCGACAGTACTACCCAAAGGATTTGTACTATCGATCTGTAAAGTGCATATAACTAGTCAGCTAAGAGTTCGGTTGCACTTCGTCAAATTAAAGCAGATCCATTGACAATTACTTCTTTACGACGATAGATTTTCACCTTGGAATTTCTTAACTTGGTGTGATTTTACATGTAATTATGAGGTCACAATATAATGACAGGAACACAGCCCCGTAAGAACACGCATTTAATAGCACAGGGTGAAACTGTCATTCAGTAAACTACAAGTAACAATATTTATTGATACAAGGTTTCTTTCCGTATCTTGTAGTAAATATTCAACTGACGGAATTGTTTTCCTATGCAAGTGTCCATTTGTCCAATTAAAAAAAAAAAAAAAAAAAAAAAAAAAAAAAAAAAAAAAAAAACATAGGATGAATCAGTTCAAGTTTGACTATATATAAAGGATAACAGACAACACTCTTTAATGTGCAATTTTATATATTCATTTTAACATAGAAAAGGTGGTTAAATAAGTGAAGAAAGTATTTTTTTATTAAAATAATGAAAGCGAAGGCATATAAATTACTTCATGGAACTTTTACAGATAAAAATTCATCATTTCTTACAAAACAGGAGTATCTGTGATTCTACTTTATTTCTTGCCTGCACCCCGTAAAATTTTCAATTGGAAAAAAAAATCAATTTTACAATGATTTAAACTAATTATATAATCGGGTAGGGGTGGGCAAAACATACTCTACAACTCCAAAAGTTTACAAATTTTGTAAAAGGAAAAAAAAAATCAAATTAATATATTAATTTATCAAAATATTAAATTATATTCATATACTTATTAACACAGGCATAAAAACACGAATGTAAAATACTTTTTTAAGATTAAGAGAGGGTACATACATAAAAGGAAAATGAATTTACGCTAAGCAATACAGAAAATACATATACTGTACCTCAAGATAATGAGTTAATATAAGTCCTATCTTATTGCATGCAAATGAAAATACAATCAAACATTAAACTCTTTGCTAATATTTCCCATTGTTTCCTTAAAAAGTTGTGGTAAAAGTTGGGATTACATACACTTGACTAACTTTACAAACAAGGAATATAAAAGGAGAGTTTTGACTGATTATAAAAATTAAATGGGGTTTCATCAAATTTTGTAGCCTTGCATTCCGTTGCTCGGTATTGGATTACAGTTCACATAGGAGCTAATCTCTCCCTGTAAAAGAAGATTATATCTTGTAGTATGGAATTAATACTGAATTGTTAATTTCTTACACGAACTATGGTGCTAAAAAATATGACCGAAGATTTTATAATCATTTTCGGTAAATATAAATACAAACCAAACGTAAATGTTTAATATCATAATTGTGAAATAATTAAAAAAAAATCTACGAAAAAAAATCCGATAAGTTGATTTAACTTATGTATAAGCTATTCACGTAAAGTTTATGGAGAAAAGAAATGTATTTTAGGTATTTTTTTAATAAAATTGATAAGAGACTGAATTTTCACCGCTTTTGATGAGCAACAGCTAAACACGGTTTAGACAATGTAACAGTTAATGTGCCATCAGCCCCTCGTATGAACAATATAGGCAATACGAAATTTGTTGCAATTATAAGTTTATTCTTATTGAAGTACCTTTTCAAAACAAGTGCAAACAGTATGCTAAAACAAGCGACACTTGTGGTAATTCCTGCAACTTCGATAATCGATGTCATCCGCCGTTGAAATGCATGAACTATAACGCAAAACATAATGCAAATTAACATCACATTCAGTGCCGTATAATTTATATTCAAATAATATTTTCTAATAAACATGATTTTTTTCTCTCTTTTTGTGAAACCTGAAATAATAATAGGATATATATCTTATATTCGTATCGTAATTTTAATGACCTAGACATTTTTTTTTTTTTTTTTTTTTTTTTGGTCAAACCCTTTCACATTCTGTACCCGATATGTCAAATGTCCGAAACAAGCTTTTAGAGATCGTGGATCTTATTCAAACCTTATCTGGAAGGATTTTTAAGATATCTTTTTCCTTTAATATAACGTAAAAAAAATGTCGATTTAAAGGGAAAATTGTGTATAGTATGAATGTTATGTTAAAAAGTTTCTGTAAACGGTCATTTTTTCATGATTGACGCCAATCAATTAATTATTATTCATCACAATGAATATGAACAACATCTTTAAAATAGGTGATGTATAATAATTTTTTAGTAAAGGATATACATAACTGTTGCAACAATTTAAGAACGATTGGTTTACAGATTGAGCCAATATGTGTTAACTAGACTGACATATTACATAACGGTTGATATAAATACAATACCATCAATACAGAATGCCCCCGTGTATCCCTTTTTGCATTTTTCACACGTTCCGTTCTTTTTATCACACACTGAGAGACATCCTTCACTACAAACCGATTTACATAGAGGTCCGTACGTCCCATCAGGGCATGCTGAAAAATATGATAGAAAAGAAGATATAAAACTAATAAGAAGTAAATATAGCGTATTTGCTCAATTTCCTTTTTCTTCTCTTAAACATAGCGGGCCATACCAAAAAAAGTATTTTTTTATAATCTCATTGTTCAGAATGAAGAATAAGAAAAAAAACAAATTTGAATTTTTTGTAGTTTTGCCTCGGTAAATGAAATCAAAATATAACAGAAGGGAAAGCTTCCGCCTTTCAGATTTTTAGAAAAGGAGACAAGCATCTCTCTGAAAAAAAAAAAAAAAAAAAAAAAAAACTAACTGGACAAAATTCACTTTGCTGATATATATCAAGTGATATTTTTTACGTTTAAAGTTGATTTCTAATTGATAATACTTAAAGTGTTATTGAATACTAAATTGCAGAATCATAGAAGTTCATAGATAAACACATCATCAGTTGAGCCAAGGATAGGTCTATAGGATTGTTATAATAATATAAAGTAAATATCTATACTGATTCATAAAGTTATTATGGATTATGTTTTCGTCAATAATGCGATGACTTTCCAATACAAGCATATCTTTTCATCTCAATACACTGTAGCATTTGTTCTGCATAGCAATAAAACTCCATGTCATTCGTTAACCATAGCATTTATGCTGCAAAGCATTTATCTGCATATCATTTCTTCCAAATAGCAATAAAACTCCATGTCATTCGTTAACCATAGCATTTATGCTGCAAAGCATTTATCTGCATATCATTTCTTCCAAATAGCATTTAGCTGCAAAGCATGTATACTGCATGTCATTTATGCTGCATAGCATTCATGTTGCATATAATATTCGAAGAAAATAGATCATTTTTATAGAATAGAATATTATTTGTAAGAACGAAAATATTTTAAGTCCCGTGATGAAGGATTTTTTTAAATTAAGATAAATTATAAAATTCTGGTTTTTATTTTTTGTCATTCCCAAACACAAGAAAAAACATAAGAAACTTGTAAGGATTTATTTCATCGAATCAGTACAATGTATATCCAAATAAAGAAGGTCTTTTTGAAAATGTTGTCATTATAGGTGCGAAAGCAGCACTCCCTCCTAATTCGTCTATACTTTCTTCAGGTTGTATGTTTTCAAACATATTTTGTCAGTTGTCAGTCTAGGAGGACATCTGTTTTAGGGACAATTATTGTTCTCTACAATATACAAAATTTAGATTAAAATAATGTTGAGATTTCTTTTAGTTAATGAAATATATATAATTAAATCGTATTTTTCCCATTTATTTTAAATCAAATAAAGATATAATAAATCAATTAATTATATTTGCCACATATCACAAACGTATATGCAGCTTTTTATAACTGAAAAAAAAAAGAACAACTCTTAATTCTGTGACTTCAAGGCAGCAAGGTATTTTCCCTGTTTAACAAAGAGAATGATATTCATTCAAATTAAAGGTGTTGAACATTAGCATGATTAATGTGCTTTAATTTCTAGGACAAAGGTAACATAAACGTTAATGTCTATATTATATTTATTTACAAATGATCATAGTAACTGATGTTCCATTGTCGTTCAATATCTACTCAACGTCGTCTTTTGTGTGATGATGCACGAAAAAAAAATAATAAAGTAAAAACGTACTTAGCTACCATAATCTTTATAAAGTGAATCAACATTCCACTTAGCGGTTGACGTTTTCTTGAGTCTAAAATGGTGTGAAACATTAATGCTAATTGTAACACATAAACATAGAATGTCAAAATATATGAGTTAGAAACAGAGAAAATTTCAAATGTACAAATTAACTTACTGCCTTGTACTCTCTTTTCTTATTATAATATGATATATTTTAGCCTTTCTCTCAGCTACCTTGCTCGCTGAATACAATTTTTTCTCAAATCAATTGTATAAAACTGCAGTTAAAAATAGATTTTAAAAAACATTTCTTTCCATGAACAATAGATTTACAATAAGAAGCAGTAGACGGGGTAAATAAATCGAAATAAAGAAATCTCACCTTTCTTACGAAACACATGAATCTATAACAAAAAAGAAAATTTTGAGCTCTAATTTCATGAATACTTCAAGCATTGAGTTCTCAAAAAAAAAAAAAAAAAAAAAATCAAAAAAAAAAAAAAAAACAAACAAACAAACAAACAAACAAAAAACAAACAAACAAACAAGAAAAACAAAAAAAAAAAAAAAAAAAAAAACAAACAAACAAAAAAACACGATTTTTTTTTTCAATTTGAATATTTACGCAAATATGTTATTTTCATTTTTATTTTTCAAATGAGAAAAAAAAGTAGTGTAAAGATGAAAAGGAAATGATACCCATTTACCCTTTAATCATTATTTTCTGTAATTCGATTCTTTTTTTCTAATTGTATATTACTTCTTTATTAAAAAAAAAGCTGCGATGTCTGTTGCTAATTATAACCTTACTTTAAAAGCAAAGAAACAAAGTGAAAAATGATACACTACCGAAAAATCTCTATAGTTAACTATAGTTTATTATAGTTATCTATAGTAAAAACTTTTATACTTTGATTTACGAAGGAACTTTAAAACTTCTTTTTTTTTCAGATATAGGGGCCTTATTATTTCTTTAAGTACACATCAATGATGTAAATGTTAGAAACAACATCTGAAAATACAAGTGATATTTTCTTTAAAATGCACACATTGCATATAAGACTTGACTAAAACTGAAATATATTAGTTTGGAATTTATAGTAAAGATATTTTGGTTTTCGATAGTAAAAACTTTGATACTATAGTTTACTATAGCACAGAGGTATTTCTCAATAGTTCAACTTGCAATTCACTTAAGAATTCATAATACACGCAGACATACCTTAGTAGTGCTCCTCCACAAAAAATAAATAATCCCCACTAAAATATTACGGAATTGTCTGAATTGTCAACCTGCGATGCAAAAACTTAAGTGAACAAATAGCTATGTTATATCCAAAATATATGTAATATTTGCTTAAGCAGCATGTTTTGAAATGAGTAGAAAATTCTCATCTTCAAAGTACCAAAAGTGTATCAAGCAGCCATCTTAGGGAGGCATCCAATAAAAATTACTTCTTCTCAATTTGGAAGCAATAAGGAAGTAATTTTTGTAAGTGGACATGTATGTTTTCTTTGTGAGAAGTAAAGCACTCAAAATCTTTTTTTTAAACATAAAGTGGCTCTCAATTAAAAGAATTAAGATAAATTTCCATAAAATCGTCAAAAAATTGACGAGAATTTTAACATAACAAATTCTGAGGTATATTCGACCCTTAATCGTAATTTGCTGTAAAATCACTTTTCGTCGTTTGAGAAAAATTCATTGGTTTGTGGCCGGGGATATGATTTCGTGGATAATGAAGATTTGCATTGTTATATATAATATGGACATTTTAAATCGTGGAGAACATCAATTCTTATTTATTTTCATACCACGAAATCAAGGAATATTAAAACCCACGGAAATAAGTGATTTCATAGTATATGAAAGCGAAGCGATTACATATACATCCCAAAACAGGAGTCATTTGAAAAACGTTACTCTTTTCTGTAAATTCATAAAAATGTCTAAAGTCATTCCTTATTAATTACTTGAGCCGGTCTTTTATTTACACACATACTAAACTCTTCCTCTAATCGAGTAAATTGGAAGATATCAAAGTCAAGTTTTTTCCTATATCATATTGAATATGCTTAATTTTAATCCAGAGAAATGAAACAAAGTAACTTTTTAAATATTCAATAATATTGCGGTACCCTCAAGCTTAAAACGCCAGTCATGACTCGTGAATTCTACAATAATGTGTATTGTTTTCAATGAGTCATAAATGTTTTGACACTCCCCTTACTGACATATCAGGTTTGCAGTTACTTGAAGTCAAATTCAATTAGGTTGATGCTTAACGTGATTGTTGATTTGAATTTCATACAACACACCGTTGTTGATCTTGAGCTTTCTTATCAAAACCAGATCGATCACGTTCTCTTTTTATGACATAAATATATATAGTTCTTCTTTGAAAAGTATTACATACTGTAATGTCAAAAGACAAAAAACAGAAAGTGTAAGTTTTCATACTGTAATTACCTAAGCTTTAAATCCCTTCAAAAATTGGTGTATGCGCAATACTGTTAATGCAAACTATGAGGATATCAACGGAATATAGACGCGTACAAAAAGATGCGGATTCTAGTTAAAGCAGTAGCACTTTAGAGGAAGCAAAAGATACCTTTTTAAACTGAATTAGTTTTTTTGTAAAACCATTATTTCATCACATAGATTTAAATTGATTGAAAAAAGAACCATAGTAAAATGCCACTTTGTAGTGAATTTAGTTTGGACAACAAATTTGACAGTCTCTTGATAAATGCAGATAATGTGTACTGCATAGAGGTCATAAACAAATTTTAACATCGCAAGGGGATACCCTCCGTCAAATTGATATTTTAATCTGTAAATTGTTTCTATATATCTTGTGTTTTCTGTAAAGTGCGACTGCTTTAACTAGAATTCGCATTTTATAAATATAAATTTCAAGTAATGGGACTTCACCTGAAAAAATGCAAGACCTTTACTAAGTATTTTATGTGTTTATTAAGAAATGTTTTCAATTTCACGAAAGCAGTTGCTCTTTTCAAGTTAAAAGACGTCCGTGTTTGCTCTGCTCCCGATTTGTATTGTTTTAATGGACTTTGGTCTTGAATACCATTCGTTATCTCCATATTTCATTCTATCTATATTTAAAAAAAATGGTTAAGACCTATTAAGTGTTTGGCCTTGCGCTTCGGCGATTTATCGAGGCACCTCGATGTTAAATTTCCCATTCCTTTACACAAAACACAGGATAATAAATTCAATATACTTTCTCGATAAAAAAATTAATTATGGCATTTATTAAAAACATACACACAGGAAGTAACAGTCTTTTTACCTCTGTAAATAATATTCCGTTTAATTATAAAATGCATTTCTCACTGTGAAAAAATCATTTGATCTGCCACGCATTGCACATAAAATGCGTTAAATTTTACCATGATGACATCATGTCGACAAATGCATTGCTATCAACGATTTCTTTATATCATTCTGTGTGGGATTTAACTAGCGACAAAAATAGAAGCAGTGGTAAGCTTAGATGTTATTTGATACTATTATACATTTTCAAATTGCAAATTATTTCTTTTTATGATATTATTAAAAACTGATATTTTTGCGTGATGTCACATTAAGCATTTCCCTATGAATTAGGTCACGTCTCTTTTATCTACCCTTAACACTGCTGCGTGGGTGTGTGTCCATTTTTAAGAAGATAACAGTTATCCAAAATAAATATTAAAGTAGATGTTAACTTTGTTGAGGATTAATTTTGTCTGGACAATAAGATGTAGACCAAAAGTTTGGGTATTAACAGTTTTAGGAAGTAAACACATAACTCTACTTTTGTGTCGTAGGAAGAAAAAAGGTTTGTGAGAGGTATAGATGGTTCATTTTATAATACACTATGTAATACAGTTGTATTAAACTTTTAATACACTTTGTAAGACAATTAGTAGAACTCCGGTATCTAAAACATCGATATCTCGAATACCATGGATGTGTCGAAGTAAGCTGTAAATCAAAACGTCTTTTTCTCTATGTATTTTAGCCTGGATATCCCGAATTTTCGTGTATCTCCAAGTTTTTCTCAATCCCATCGAATTCGAGATAGCAAGATAGGACTCTATGGTGAAATAGCGCAACCTTTTAAATGTGAATTACATATAATATGTGATGCTCCCAATATGCATAAAGAAAATCTTAGACGGTCATTTATAATTTTATATTTTAAGTGTTGAATCTGTGTCTCTTTACGACATATTGCGTGTATGTGTGCATACATGCGTGCAGCTCTCCAAAGGTTATTTGTCTTTGACAGTAGTAAAAGTTGATGTTTATATCAATCATGCTCCTTGCATGCATGTGTACATTAAGCATGATAAGAGCAAATGTGCACTAAAACGTTAAGACTACTTCTAGTCGAAATCATGAAAAGTGTATATATATATCTTATTTTGGAAATAGGTGCACTATATACATGTTTGAATGTTCGTGCTTAAACTCTCATTTCTTTACAACAATATTGTACTGTGAAAATTGACTAATCCGACACCTTTGCAATCCGTTTCACTATGAATTTCGACCTAATTTACATTCCAAAATTAAACTGTGCAATCCGACATCCTGTCTATTTCTGACACAAATTTTGTCTCCTTGTGCATGTCTGATTAGATAATTTTTACTGTATCTGATAATTATTTTTTTTTAATTAATGACACTTCTTTCTTTTCAATTTCAAAACTAAGTTCTTTTGTTACTTAATTTTTTTCTTGAAAAGTAGGGTTTTAGAACAATTACTAAAAAAATCATGTTTTAAGGTAGAGACCGATAGCAATCACGTGATTGATAGAATTCGCATATTAGCACGTGCTGTTTTTCCGGATTCCGCAAAGCCGCCAAATAATAGTCCTCATTTACACATTATTCTCTATGCTACAAGATGGCCGACGAAGCAGTCGAGAAAATTTCCTCGTTTAAAAGACAAACTTTCCATATATAATAAATCTTCACGGTCCTCAAAATTGAACCACCTTAATAGAAATTGAAATGGAAGTGAGATTGAAACCGACCATGAACATAATTTTGGTGAAACTACTCCTTGTCCACTGCAGCACCACGTGGGTGCCGGTACGTGTTTCTGTGCCTGATGCTTAATATAGACATTAAAGACCATAACCCTGCAGATGTTAATTGGTATGATGGAAGAAGTAAATTTTTTGCAGAACAAATTATTTGTTTGCAGTGTCCGTTTCAGATACATCAGGTGAATATTTACGGCTATGTTTGTTTAACATACAGGTCTGGTACAATCTGACGCTAGATTTATCTACGTAGCTTGAATTACCTACATAGGTTTATTTACCTACCTAAAGTAGTTTTATTTAAGTCAAACTTATTTTATGACCAGTATATTACTTCTTGAATGAAATAACAAGACCAGATATTTCTGGTGAACATGATAAAGGCTGGATTGATAATTATTTAGCACAATGTGAAGTAATCATACTTTTCTGTAATTAAATGCACACGAGGTTGTGTAAAGTTACTCAAACAATATAAATCCATATTTTGCTTAAAGCGTTCAAATGCAGAAATGTGTAAACTTTCTCTGCTTTGGATCGCTTTTTAAATATTAATCCCTTGTATAAATAATAGTGGACATTAACTTGCGATTCTAGATCTTTTGTCTTTTTGAAATAAAAAGCAAATTTGTAAAGAGTTGCATTGAAATAGCTAAATAAAGCTACCCGAAGTAGCTAAATAAAGTTACAGTAGCCGTCTGTAGGTAATTCTACCTATGCAGCTAAATGTACTGATTGTACTGGACCTGTTTATTACTTAACATTGCATATTAAGTATTTTACTTGTTAATTTATGATCCATATACATAGATGATGAATTACAGTTTCAATGGTGCTGTATTCAATTTTTTTTGTAAATAATTATGCAAGTTTATGTAATATTTATGCACATGTAATAAATTTATGTAACTATGTATTTGTTGTATGCTCAAAAGAGCCCTGATTATAAACAGATATCATAAATATTAAAAGAAATATTAAATACAACAGGTGAAGCAAGATATGGACTAGGCTAAGGTAGTGTATTCAGCATTCTCTGCAGAAATAATGTGGCATTCAAATCAAGTGTCATCTGGAAAGAGGAATATCAAGGGTTCTTTTGACATTAACTCCAAAGTAGCCATTGGTTTGTATTTAAAGCTTAATTTGTTTCCTCTTATTTTTTCCTTTCAATTTACACTTGCACATGTATCAGGGAAAATCCAGAAATTTTTCCAATAAGAGGGGGGGGGGGGTAAAAAGGAGGTGTTTTATATTATTATAATTCT